CCCCAGGGGCTCGTCTGCTGATTGTCCGTGTTTAAGGCAGGACAGTGGTCACTCGGGAAGGCAGGACAGTGGTCACTCGGGATACTTGGAGGTGCTGTCAGCCAGAGGAAGTAGTCAAGAGGATTATCAGATTAAGGTATGACGTCATCGACTGGAGGATTATCACACTAAGGCATGACGTCATAGACTGGAGGGTTATCACACTAAGGCATGACGTCATAAACTTGAGGATTATCACACTAAGCCATGACATCATCGACTGGAGGATTATCACACTAAGGCATGCCGGAGGATTAGCCCAGAGCCACATCAATTGATGACGTCTAAAACTTTGCGTACGATGTAGATGGCTTTGATGTAAATGTGTAAATAAATGACAAAATGGCTAGACATCTGAATGGCAGTTTGGCTGTAAATCTGTTACAGTTTAGAAATAAATACAGAGCTTAATCATTCTCTATGCGGTCACCAAATCTATTTCATACAGTAACTAATGTATACAAACATATATACCCATCAAGCGAGGTTATACAACAATCAGAGGCGTAGCGATGGTGGGGCGTGGGTGCGGACCCCACCGGGTGACACCATTTAGGGGGGGTGACACCAAGGCAAAAAATAGCAAAATATATAGAGAAAAATTTGAGGGGTGTGCATATCAAAATTTAGAGAGAGGGGGGGGGTGCAAATCGAAAATTGAAAGTTTGTCCCAGGACGTGTTCTTGTTTTGATATTTTAAAAAAATAATTTCCTAGTGGTTAAGCTGCTAGGTTCTATATTTTATTTTTATACCATGTAGGCCTATAATCCTATTTTGTATTTTATATGTTCGGGTTGTTTGGTGTGTATGTAGAGATTAAAAGCAATTTCTTACAATCTGTGTTTACTTATGCATTAGTTAGGTACACAGAGGTTTAATTGTTTATCTAATTTTTATTAATTTTCATTGTCTTAAATGAAAAACACTCCTCCATTTCTAAAACACAGGAAAAATAAAAGGGAGATAACGCCAATAGTAGATTAAATATTTATTACATTAGATTATTTCACTGCTACATAAGATAATTGATTTAATACATGCTATTAATGAACACCATATAGTACAATAATTTACGCTTGCAGTTCATAAGTAAAAGTTTATTGTTTTTAAAATATATAGGGTTATATGTATTTATCAAACTTAAACTTTGCATTTAGAAGTTTAATTTTAAATAACATAATATTCCAAAATTAGGTGGTACTAAGTATATGAAGAGAAATACAAAGAAAGATAACTCTTACATCAAAAATTGTTTAATGTAATTCCACAGTTGTCTACCTTGCTATATTATAAATACAAAATCAGTGCTATTGTAGACATTTTTAAAAAAGTAATAGTTTCGATGTGTATCGAACTTATTTAAACGTGTGCAAATTTAATTTAATTTGATTTATTCAATTACGGTAACAATAGTAGGCACGGAGGCCTTTTTTCACATTGGCCGTTTTAAAATAAACAAATAAAACAACAATTTAATAACAGCATTTGAAAAAAGCAATAGCATAGTGCGGACATAGCAGTAACATAGCACTAAAAATGTGGAATAAAGAAATAATATTACATAATTAAAATACAAAATGTGATAAAATAAGAATATAACAGATGAATGAGAAATGCTTCAATGGCTCAGTTAGGGAGGTCATTAAATAATTGTTGTTTTAGTTTAGTTTTGAATATATTTTCAGATCTAGATAGTTTGATTTTATTAGCAAGATTGTTTCACAAATTAGAATCAGAGTAGGCGAAGCTATGTTTTTGAAAAAAGTTGTATTAAGACAACGATTTAGTTTTGTGAAGAAAATAGGTCTGATAAGTAAGAGGGGGCTGTTTCGTGGAATATTTTATATTAAAACATTGCTTTAGTATATATAATCTTTTTATTTCATGGAAGCATAATAGTTGTGATAAAAGAATCAAGGCTACTAGACAAGCCTGTAACCAGTTTTATTGCCCTTTTTTGTAGTGATAGTAGAGGACGCTGCTTAGTTATAAAGCTGCCTCTCAACACTACAGAAGCATAATCCAACCTAGATTGAATAAAAGCTTCATAAAAAACCAGCCTGCTCCTATAGTCCAGAAGGTTCTATATCCTTGCTATTTGAAAAGTTGTCTTTAATAGGGACATTTTTAGAAGATGGAGATTACCGGACCAAGTGAGGTTGTGATCTATAATCAATCCTAGGCATTTGTAACTATCAACCTGTTCAGTGTTTGAATTGTCTATAGTAATGTTTAATGCGGTGGATGGAAGACGAAGGCGTTTCTGATTAGTTGTAATAAACATTGACTTGGTTTATCGGGGTAAATTTCATTTTGTTAAATTTTGTCCAAGTAGCAAGCTGATTGGCACATGTTTGAAGTTTGTAACTGAGTGACTCAGCACTGTCTGCAAAGACATGTAACGAAGTATCATCACTGACCTGCGTCGATATGCAATGCAAGTGTTTTCGTATATTTGAATACACAGATGCACATAAGACTATTGTTCAATTTTTTCCGTTTTCCTAAAGTAACAGAATGTGAACTACTACAAAATATAGTACTGTCTCAATTGAACCTTGTGATATAATAAATAAATATCCAGGAGTAATTTTAAATATTTCTTTTAATATGACATAATAGCACAAACATTAAAAGATAGTAAACAAATCCACTTAATAGCGGTTAAAATAGCTTTGTTGAATTACAACAGAAGCATTTAATATATATAAAATATGCATTTAAGTAGGAATATATATATATATATATATATATATATATATATATATATATATATATATATATATATATATATAATTTTGATTATTATGAACAAGGGAGGCTATTCTCCATGTAAAACCAATAAAAGCTCATAAGTCTTAAAAATGTAATACTGATAAAAAGATAATATCAACACATGTACAATATGATATAACAACACTTAATTTTATCATATAACAGTTTTACAATGATTTATTGATAAGAGAGATTATTCTGAATAAACGTAAGGCATTAAGAACATATTGCACCAAGCTGGTATTAACTACATATACAACTTAGTTTGGGTTCAGGCCACATTTAGCTGTATGTTAGGTGTTATGATTATGGCTAGCTTTGAATGGGTTTGTTAGTAAACTTTATGTACAAGCATTTTTGTTTGTTTAATTTTGCAGAACAATCCCACACATTAATTTGAGTATTTTTAAAATAAATATTGAAAGGCGAATCCCCGATTGATTCATGGGGAGGTTACAGTAATGATATGCGCTAAGTGAAGCTATGATAGGTGCTAGGGAAGGGTATGATAGGTGCTAGTGAAGGGTATGATAGGTGCTAGGGAAGGGTATGATAGGTGCTAGTGAAGGGTACGATAGGTGCTAGGGAAGGGTATGATAGGTGCTAGGGAAGGGTTTGATAGGTGCTAGGGAAGGCGGTGGTAGAATGGATGGTGCTAGAGGAGGCGCAAAACGATTAACAGAAATGTAAACAGGTTTTCTAATTATAAAACAAATAAATGACAGAGTTTCTTCCAGGCATCTCTTCTCGGGCGACCGAACCCCCCCCCCCCCACCCCCCTCCCGCCCATTAACGAAATGGAATTTATATAGAAAATATATACATTTAACAGTGCCCCCCCCCCCCCCGAGGCATACCGTTGTAAAAACTGATTTTAAAATAATATGTATAACCGCTTTTTCTAGCGTCGATATAGATTGCTCAATTTATTTTTATTTGGGATAAAATATACAAAGCGAAATGAAAGGTGTTAACTTAATTATAACATGTAAGTAGAGCTTAGAATTTAACATTATAGGTAAAATTGATATAAATATTTTTTTTAATATTATACTAAAAATCTATAAAAATTTATAGTATAATATTAATACTTAAAATTGATTATAACTGGTTATTTAAGTTGTATACGATTTTAAATGTACAAATTATTTTAAGACTATGGTAAAATTAAAATAGAAACTATTAGCGATATTATAGAAACTATTGTTAGACTTCCCAAAGTTAAATTTTTAAACGTTTTGCAGGCGTTTCATTATGGCGTATAGTTTTTCCAAATACACTTCGTCATATACTTACTAACTCAGTTCACTCCATCTTAATTGTGGAGAAAGCAATTAAAATCAACGATGCGCCCACTACATTACCTCTAGTTAAAGCTGTTGAAGAAGAACCGCCTTACATGTTTGATTTGAGCATAGGCCAAATTTGAAGATTTGCCTACATTTAGCACTGAAATAACACTAGTTATCTGCATGGCTCTGTCCAACCTACGTTTCCGTCATGACCACGCTTACATACTCCCACCCATCTACACAGAGGAGGAGCAAGAAAACAGGCCATCTGGCCAACTATTAAAATCTGGCCAACTATCATCATCTGGCCAACTATCAATATCTGGCCAACTATTAACATCTGGCCAGCTATCAACATCTGGCCAACTATCAACATCTGGCCAACTATCAACATCTGGCCAACTATCAACATCTGGCCAACTATCAACATCTGGCCAACTATCAACACCTGGCCAACTATCAACATCTGGCCAACTATCAACATCTGGCCAACTATCAACATCTGGCCAACTATCAACATCTGGCCAACTATCAACATCTGGCCAACTATCAACATCTGGCCAACTATCAACATCTGGCCATCTGGCCAACTATCAACATCTGGCCAACTATCAACATCTGGCCAACTATTAACATCTGGCCATCTGGCCAACTATCAACATCTGGCCAACTATCAACATCTGGCCATCTGGCCAACTATCAACATCTGGCCAACTATCAACATCTGGCGAACATCAACATCTGGCCAACTATCAACATCTGGCCATCTGGCCAACTATCACCATCTGGCCAACTATCAACATCTGGCCAACTATCAACACCTGGCCAACTATCAACATCTGGCCAACTATCAACATCTGGCCAAATATGGCCATTTATTAACACCTGGCCAACTACCCGACCATGGAATCTGGGCCACCCCCCAACTGGAGCACCCTCCCCCTATCCCCAGCGTTACATCTATCTCTATCAAACTTCCCATAGCACCTCCTCAAGACGTCGCTCATTCCCCTCCCATCCCCCATCCGGTGGTAGCAAAACGCCAACGACGCCAAAACATTCACTTCCGGTGTACCCCGGGCTAGGATGGACTCGAACCTGCGCGCCGCCTTGTAGAAGTTTCCCAGCTGCTTCAGCACCTCGCCTTCGTATTCCGCCATGGTTGTGTTCGTCCCGCCGTACGGAACCTTCCCCACGGCCGCCGCCATCTTGGCCTCGGTTTCAGGATCGTAGTCTCGTTTCAACACCATGACGTCATTAGACCGGAAGACCTCTTTAAAAACCGGAACGTGGAACCGGCTGCCGGACTCGACAATGGCGTAGTTATAGTACCGGGACTCGACAATCCGCTTGAGTAAAAAGTCTCGATTACGTTTGTAGATCAGATCCGATACTTTGGTCACAGAGTAGTACCCCTTGTTTAGCTTAACTTTTGGGGTAGTCGGCTGATCATGATTTACTAGCGAATCGTTATCGAACTCTAGAAACTCCGAGCCCAAGAGGAACAACACTGGAATGTTCTGATGGAGCAGGGAGTAACTTCCGGTTTCGTGCAGGTTCCGGTCCAGGAAGAGACCCGTGACGTCATGTTGTGCGGATAAATACCGGAGACAAATGTTGGTATCGATACTGTGTTCGCTGTACGAATACTGCCAGTCTTTCGCGGCCTGTATGGCGTGTCTCTCGTGTGCCAGGAGGAGAAGGAGGGAGGAGGTCAAGAGGGCGACCTGCCACAGTCTGGACTTGAGTAGGTGGAGTAGAGTTACAGCCGCAGACGCCAGGGCGCCGTAGAAGAGGACGAGGGCGTCGTGGAGGAAACGTGTCTCTTTGTGTCCGGACAGGGAGAAGACAGCCACCAACATGACGACACACAAACAAGGGGCGATCATGCTGGAGTCTTTTACCTCCAGTAACAGCCCCTTACTTTGTTCTACCTCCAGTAACCGCCCCTTACTTTGACAATTAATATCATTATTTGATAAACCCCGCCCTGTGAAGTTCATCTTGCTCAAGATAAAGTAACAGTGCACGCATAGCAAGCAAATAAAGTAGACAACAAATACCAAACTTAAACACATCATCCCGACATTGTGGAGAAAAACTTCCTCTATGTAGAAGAACATACCAGAAGTTCCAAACAGTTTGGGGGCCATGCCAGAGAACACGTTAAACTTCACCCAGTTGACGGGGGACAGGGCGAAACTGCCGTAAAAGTATACGTCATCGCCGACGGCCAACACGAGTCCGACGCAGGCACCAATCAGGTAGAGGAAGAAGAACTGTTGCTTCCAGATAAGCCGGAAGTGATGTGGTTTCATGCTGAGCAGTGTAAGTATGGAGATCATGAGAGCAGAGTCTGGGCGAACATAGACAGACAAAGCTAACGTCAGACCTGTTATAAATTGAACTAATCTCCGATCTTCCTGGGCGGTTTCTGAAATTCTGGAAAAGTTTGTTTTCTGTGTTGACTCCGGGAATGTTACTTGAGTATTCGTGGACTGTAAAGACGCTTCTTTTTTACCATTTCTGAAAACATTGGTCTCTTGTTCACATTCGCTTTCTTCTGTTACGTAAGAACCGTTTTTAGAGTTACCGAAACCTTGTAAACCGTTTAATTTTGATTTCATCGATCCTGAAGGTGTCGCTTCTTGTACGCTCCGCTGATCGTCAGATGAACTTCCAGTTCTGTTGAGGGGTGACGGGGTGACATTCCTCAGCTCGTAGACAACTGAGGCCAGGGCGAGAAAGGTGAAGGTCGAGACAAAGCTGTTGATCAGCGTGTGCGTGCCGAAGACGGTGAGGGAAGCAGACGTGGCCACCAAGATGGCTGCCAGGCTGGACACGTCACGTGATCCGGTCAGTGACAGGAAGTACCTGGATGCGGCCAGGGGTAGGCATGACGTCACGAACACATGCCCGGTTCTCCAAAGCTGGGAACAGGTAAAATTAGGCAGGTGTGAACAGGTGTAAATCAGGTAAATGAAAGATTACAGGTGTAAATAGATATATCAGGTAAGTGAAAGATTACTGGTTTAAGTATACCTTACGTCATGCCTGTAGGTATCACCGCCAATCACAACAACACCATTACCACCACCAACACTATCACCACCACCAACATCAACAACAGCACCATCACCACCACCAACAACAACATCACCACCAACAACAACACCATCACCACTAACAACAACACGATCACCACCGACAACAACTACACCATCACTACCTACAACAGCAACATCAAAACCACCAGCAACAACAACACCATCACCACCCCCAACAACACCATCAAAACCACGACCACCAACACAACATCATACTAACCATATATGGGTTGGGCGAGTACCCTGTAACGGACACGACAGAAGAGAGCAGCATGAAAAACTGGGGAAACAAGGGCGACCTCAGGGCCCTCATGCCAAGCTTGTGTTCTATCTTCTGGTAGTGGGAGAGGTTGTCTCCCCTCACTGGCTGCATGAACTCGTAAGGTCTCAGTCCGTACCCGTACAACTATGTGTGGGCCACTGGAATAACACATGCACGAGTTACTCTAGCATGCTTATGTGTATTATATATATATATATATATATATATATATATATATATATATATAATGTTATATATATATATATATATATATATATATATATATATATATATATATATATATTATGTATGTATATGTATAATTTATGTGTGTATGTGTGTGTGTGTGTGACTGTTATTCATTATCTCCACACTTGAGTTAAATATCCTGCATGAAAAATTTTTGACAAAACTTTGATTGAAAGGTGTTGACAATATTGACTCAGCTACAACTGCCGATGAAGTGAAGAGCTGGGTTTAGTACATCAAATACGCTACACCGCGGTGCTAGAGAATATTTGCATAGTCCGTCGTATACCGCGTAGGTTGAATATAATTCATCTACTTTGTTGTGTAAATATACTCAGCTGAGAATACCGTACTTATCACTGTTAACCGCTACCGTACATGTTGTAATGAACATGTTGTTTTTATCTAAATGCTGTTTCGCTTTTTACATCATTAAAATTACATGAAAATAATACTTATGGGACCAACGCTTTTAAATTTGGCTCTGTTTTGCCTCTGAGTAAAACAATTGAGGCTCTCGGAGAATTGGAGGCCCTTATAGGGCGACCAGGGCATTAGATGAAGAGCCCATGGGCCGCCCGTATATCGTGATCCGTCTCTAGACCTGTGCTGGTATTGTCCAAAGAAATGCTAAGCTCTGCCTTTGGTGTCAATTTTGGTTGTATAAGCTGCCGAAAATTTCATGACCATTTACCTAGTTTAGCTGTACCTGGTTTACTTAATCAGTGTTTCTTCCAGACTTTATTCTCCGTGGGGGGGGGGGGGGGGGGGGGGCACTTGAAATTTTCGGGGGGGGGGGGGCGGACACTGTTAAAAGTTTATATTTTCTATATAAATTATATACATTTCATTTCGAAGAGATGCCTGGAAGAAACTCTGTACTTAATAACGCAGTTTTACATCAACTGTCAAGTTATTTGAAGCGTAATGCGATTTAGTCAGGCATAAAATTGAGGTGTTGATCCGTAGTGTGTTCGCTAATTTTTTTTTCTTCCTGAATGACGATTAAAGATGACATTTCGTCATGGCTGCGACAATTCTGGGACAATCAGACATTTCGTCAGGCTGGTATTCATAGAAAAGCAGACATTTCGTCAGGCTGGTATTCATAGTGAAGCAAACATTTCGTTAGGGTTATGGTTCAGGAAAGTTAGACATTTTGTCAAGCTGGAATTCAGCAGAAACAGGCATAACTTTTTGAGGACCGTTATTCATAAAAAGCAGACATTTTGTCAAGGTCGGGATTCGGGAAAAACAGGCATTTTGTCTGGTTGTGATTCGGGAAAAGCAGACATTTTGTCAAAGTCGGGATTCGGTGTGTAGATGTGTGTGTGTAGATGTGTGTGTAGATGTGTTGTGTGTAGATGTGTGTGTGTAGATGTGTTGTGTGTAGATGTGTTGTGTGTAGATGTGTGTGTGTAGATGTGTTGTGTGTAGATGTGTTGTGTGTAGATGTGTTGTGTGTAGATGTGTGTGTAGATGTGTTGTGTGTAGATGTGTGTGTGTAGATGTGTTGTGTGTAGATGTGTTGTGTGTAGATGTGTTGTGTGTAGATGTGTTGTGTGTAGATGTGTGTGTAGATGTGTTGTGTGTAGATGGGTGTGTGTAGATGTGTTGTGTGTAGATGTGTTGTGTGTAGATGTATTGTGTGTAGATGTGTTGTGTGTAGATGTGTTGTGTGTAGATGTGCTGTGTGTAGATGTGTTGTGTGTAGATGTGTTGTGTGTAGATGTTTGTGTAGATGTGTTGTGTGTAGATGTGTTGTGTGTAGATGTGTTGTGTGTAGATGTGTTGTGTGTAGATGTATTGTGTGTAGATGTGTTGTGTGTAGATGTATTGTGTGTAGATGTGTTGTGTGTAGATGTGTTGTGTGTTGTGTGTAGATGTGTTGTGTGTAGATGTGTTGTGTGTATATGTGTTGTGTGTAGATGTGCTGTGTGTTGATGTGTTGTGTGTAGATGTGCTGTGTGTAGATGTGCTGTGTGTAGATGTGCTGTGTGTAGATGTGCTGTGTGTAGATGTGTTGTGTGTAGATGTGCTGTGTGTGGATGTACTGTGTGTAAATGTGCTGTGTGTGGATGTACTGTGTGTAGATGTGTTGTGTGTGGATGTACTGTGTGTAGATGTGCTGTGTGTAGATGTGTTGTGTGTAGATGTGTTGTGTGTGGATGTACTGTGTGTAGATATGCTGTGTGTGGATGTACTGTGTGTAGATGTGTTGTGTGTAGATGTGCTGTGTCTAGATGGTTACACGTTAGCGCCCCAGGCATATGCAAGGGCGGAACTACAGTGCCGTCAGACCCCGCAATGCGGGGGGTGCACGCCATTTAGGGGCCCACAGCCGACCATAATAATTGTTTTTATAGCTAAAAAAACTTTAATTTTCTTGCATTTTTGACTTGATGGTTGTTTTGTAAAAAAGATAACTGTAGATGCGGTTGGATTATCTTTATTCTATAGACACCACCACACTCTCTTGTATATTCTTTTCCCTTTGATTTTAAATCACTGTGAAAGCCGAGTCCTCTTTCTCCTATAAGCAAACTTATCAAACATAAGCAAACGTTCAAACCACTTCCATGACTTTTTCCCTTTTTTAAATAATGCTCATAAGCTCCTTTTAATAAATTTGTACTAAGCAAATGGAAAAGCAATTATTTCTCTTAATTATTATTTTTTTATAAAGTAATTACTAAAGAATTACATTGTACAATAGGAAATGTATTATGGCAGAGATAAAATAAATCTGATTTTCAATTTTCATAAAACACACTAATGCACTTACACACATGACATGATGTTGTAATTTGTTTTAATTGGAAAAAATCATTTTTTTAAAAACCCGTCAAGTTCAGCAATGAGTATCCTACGTTCGTATTTTGTGTTTGTATATATGTAACTAGGGGAAGTTACCAGAGACATAAGAACGCAGTACAGCGCTGTCAACTTTGACACGACTGATGCAATAACGCAGGTGTTGGCTGATAACGATCAGAAAGCCAAGGCGTAGTATCTTGGGAAGCGATACGATAAGAACGCAATACGGTCTGTCAACTTTGATGTGACAGGATGCAGATGGCTTATTAAATCGGACTGTACGACAGAAGCGGCGTAATTAACATTCTGATGCAACGATTAGAATCGATTACGATTACGATTATGATAGAACCGAATACGATTACGAATACGAAGGGGATATATAGGAAGGCGACGGCTGAGCTCGCAGTCTCTCTCTCTCGATCAGTCAGTCAGTGAGGCAGTATCAAGTTGGTTATTGAACGGGTTAGCCGTATTGTGTTAAGAAGGACGATAGACATGTGCATTCAGTTATGTGAAGACTAGTGAGGACTGTTGGGGGTCAGTTGATTCAGACTATTATTGTGAAGCATTCCTTTTGATTTATTATATTATTGTGAAGCATTTCTTTGATTCATGTAATAAAAGGATCAATAGCGAACCTGCATCTTCGAGTATCTATACTGTGGTCGATGTTGTGTAGAATGAGTGGTTAGAGTCGGTAACATTTGGCGTTGTCGAGCAGAACTCGTTAACATTTGGCACTACAGGCAAATAGTCTCGTTACATATATATATATATATATATATATATATATATATATATATATATATATATATATATATATATATATATATATATATATATATATATATATATATATATATATATATATATATATAAAAGTATAGGCGTGTATATAAATATATATATATATATATATATATATATATATATATATATATATATATATATATATATATATATATATATATATATATATATATATATATATCTAATATATAAAGCTCACTTCTGTAACGCATATGTTTGTTTGTCGCTGGTTATCGATGGATTTAAGTGTTAGAAAATTATCGTGCGCATTTGTCTAAATTTATGAGTTTAAAAATTACTATTAAAAGTGTTGGGAAATCATTTTCATTTTTCAAATTATAGTAATAATTGTCGGCTTGTTCATTAAACACACGTTTTAAAAAAATATCATCTTTTACAAAAATTCTAATTACGTCTTTTTTTAGTCCTATAGCGCTTACTTCCCTTTGATAAATTAGGCAAAACACAATTACTTCCCTTTATAAAACCATTGCATTAGTTGAAAAGCATTTACTTTTTAATTACTTTGTTTTGGTGTTGGGAAAAAAATAATTGCATAATTAGCGGGGATTGATCAAGTGCAAATGTTGTAGGTATTTTACGGATAAGCTTGGAGTATTATAATTGTTCATTAAATTGAAACAGGCGCGTTCGTTTAAGTGAGTGCAAAAACTATGAATAAGTTGGGGTACTATAGTCGTTCATTAAGCTAAAACAGGTGATTCCGCCCCGGGCGTTTATGTTCGCGTTAGTGTTTTCTTTGTGTTTAGGTGGGTTTGCGTTAGTGGTTGCGTTTTGATTTGGTTCGTTTTTGTTCTTTCTTTTTTCGTTTTTGTTTGTGTTTTTTTTGTTTGGGTTTGTATTTGTGTTTTTGGTTGGTTTTGCGTTTGGATTTGGTTTGTTTTCGTTTGCTTTTTCGTTGTTTTTTTTTTTTGGTATTGGTGTTTGTGGTTGGGTTTGTTGTTAGGTTTTTGTTTTCGTTTGTTTTTTCTTTGTGTTTGTATTGGTGTTTGTGGTTGTGGTTGGGTTTGTTGCTAGGTTTTTGTTTTCGTTTGTATTTGTAATTGTGTTAGCGTTATGTTTGCGTTTTGTTGTTTTGGTTTTGGTTTGGGTGTGCAATGCCGGGTTTATGATGATTACTAAACACACAGGTAATGGTCTTTAACAGAAAGGTTTTTCACAGAAGCCAGAGCAGGGCCTGGCCGGGACGGCTAGTATATATATATATATATATATATATATATATATATATATATATATATATATATATATATATATATATATATATATATATATATATATATATATATATATATATATATGAGAGGGGGGCTAAAGAAAATTTTGCGGGGTGGCCCTTTTTTCAAGTTCCGTAACTCAAGCGAGTCAGCCTGATCTAGCTGGGCGTCAGACGAACCTACCCAGGTTGAAGCAGACGGCATCCTAATTGTATGTGACAATCTAAATTTTACAACTTTAAATGTTCGTGTAACTCGTGTTACTTACATTTATCTCAACCATAATTAAAGTTTGAATCATAATCTTAGCCTACACTCTAAAACTTAACGAAAAATTAAACTATCGTTTAGCCTTAACACTAGAAACCATTTTACACCCAAGTGTAATACCTTGATGTACGTTACTGCTTAACCAAAGCCAACCTAATTTTTATCATAACCTCTAGACTTAAAAAGCGGCCGATTTTTCAACATTTCTTTTATTTCATGTCTTAAGATTTCCCTGGCCTGCTTACCCGCCCTTCCCAATCAAAGGGAATCAACTCACTGAACCCAGTCCTCAAGGGCGACAAAAATCAGGTCACATTTTGCTGTACATTCAGAATATCTTTTTCTTTAACGTCACGGTTGGCCGACTCCCAGCGGGCGAGAAATTGTGACGTTAAGTGAGGTAAATAGCGGCAGTGTCAGGCTAAATCGGGACGGTAAAATGGTCTTAAAGTGACATAACTCAGTGGGCCAAATCTAATTCACGGATCTTACGATAGCTTCAGAGTGGAGTGAATACACTTAGATTTATACAAACACAAGTCTGAAAAAAACTTTAGGGTACACATGCATATATATATATATATATATATATATATATATATATATATATATATATATATATATATATATATATATATATATATATATATATATATATATATATATGCATGTATGTAAATATGTATGTGTGAATGCGTGTCTAAGGTGTGTTTGTTTGTGGACTTAATTTCATTTAGTTATCAGTAAATTAACAGCTCTTGACAAATGCTCACCTTCCATTGACTGATATATTTCATCGGGATGAAGAATCCACATGCTGCTAGGCAACGTGACGTAATACACACGAAACACCAGCGTCACACACACAACCAAATACGGAACAAAATGGGGCAGAATATCCTTCGCATGGTCACCCTCTCCGCCATTTTCTAATAACCTTTTCGCCCTCATATCTTTCGGCTCGCTTGATTTCATTTCCGACTGCCTCGCTTTACGTTTATCGCTCTTCTTCGTCAGTCCCATTCTTTTGCCGTCTGCTGCTAAAGGCACTCGGGAATTCCAGTACCTGAATAAAAATAACGAACGATCGGGATAAATGAATTCATAACAAAGCCATTTAGACCACGTGATATAACGATCAAAAAGGACCGAGACAAAGATAGCCGTACATAATACAGTTTTATATTGATTTCAACAAACTGGATGCCAAAGCTATATACGTAGGTCTGCGTGTTCACTGAAGCGTCGCGTGGTTCAGTGTAATACTGTTCAGTTTGTTCCATTGTGGGCGGGTGATTTGTTCAGATGTTCAAGCTTTTTGTTCTTGTAGGAGATAGGGGTCGCTGATTTAGCATAATCGATGGCAGCGCTGAATACTTGTAAAGGCAGAACATATGCTTGGATGAGTTTTAAGACACAAGTATATGCTGTAAAAAACTGCTTGATACATGATTGAATGAGTTTTAAGAGACAAGTATATGCTGTAGAAAACCGCTTGATGTATGCTTGGATGAGGTTCAAGTATATGCTTGTGGGAAACTATGCTTGGATGAGGTTCAATGCATAAATATATGCCCCTGAGAAACTATGCTTGGATGCGTTTAAAGATATAAATATATGCTTGTAGAAAACCGTTTGATCTATGCTTGAATGAGCTTTAAGAAAAAAAGTATATGCTTGTGGGAAACTATGCTTTGCTGGTTTCAAGACATACGTATCTTTATCATCGTTGATACGTCATCTGCTTGACATTAATATTAAAACAATTTTTCTTTTGTTTTCTTCACATTTACTTTATACATCCTGGTACCTTTAACAAAATCCGAGAGACATATTTTCCTACACACATTCAGACTAATTAATGGCTTGATTAGTCTTGTGAAATTCACCTTAACTAAAATACTATCAATTCAAACGTCACTATTGTATTCAAAATATTTATGGCTTGATGTCTTGTTTCGCATTGCTTTATCTCTGTGTAGCTGATGTAATGCAGAAAACATTTCATCATAACTGTCAAGTATTGCGATTGTTGGCATGAAATATGCTTCCCATTTAGTTTGGCCAAGACTTTGGTAGCTTTAAACTATTTTCGAAAACAATCATTTTGCCCATGAATGTGTCTTTCAGACTTTTTTTCTCCGGGGGTGCATTTGAAATTTTCGGAGGGGGGGGGGGGGGGCGCGGACACTGTCAAAAGTATATATTTTCTATATAAATTCCATTTCGTTCGGGGGGCGGTAGACTTTCTTCGCCCCCCCCCCCCCCCGAAGAGATGCCTTGAAGAAACTATGAATGTGTAGAAGATGAATAGAAATGATATCTTTCTGGAAAGGTTCCTAAAAACGTTGGCAGCAGCTAAGCAACAATCAGTTGCTTAGCTGTGACAACAAGATTTAACAATTGAACAGCACATAGAATACACATTCATACATATATATCGTAATTCTATATAATTTCTTGCATATGCTTGAACTAGTCAGACATATTTGCAGCATTATCATATGACTGGCCTCTACACTTGACAAAACATAAGCTGCACTAATTGTAAGGTAGTTGTAAGGTAGTTGTAAGGTAGTTGTGTGCCATCTTAACTATAACTTCCCCGGGGTGGCTTCACTCATCTAGGAAAGTTCGAGAACGACGAATAGAGACACCTTCATCTGGTGACACATACCTCACAATAACTGTGTGTTTATCAATATGGGACCAACACGGGGTGGAACCTACAGATAAACTACTGTACCCGCAGCTCTTAAATCATCCACCATTAAGTAGATTTCTTTTTTTTTTTGTGGGTACTTTATATAACATCTTTACATATTGTTTTAGAGAGACAAAATTTGACACATAATGCTTTAAGCCAAATTTCTTTTAGACGGCTGCTAGAAGATGACAAAATATTGCTAAAGGTTTGAGTTATTCAAGTTAATAATCTATCATGTGAAGAACCAAAAGTAAGGTAAACCGTCCTTTGACATAATTAGTATAACAGCCACAATCTTTGTACATATTTATAACAGCCACAATCATTGACATAATAATTATAAAAGCCACAACTTTTTACGTAATGATTATAAAAGCCACAACTTTTTACATAATAATTATAAAAGCCACAACTTTTTACATAGTTATAACAGCCACAACGCGTTTAAAAGCACATTTTCCAATACTGCCGTGTATTATTTATCTGTTCTGCTGACGAGTATTCAATTGTTTCTTGCACGACAGATTATCCTATTAGCTAGTATTCAATTGTTTCTTGCACGTTAGATTACCCTTTCAACTAGTATTCAATTGTTTCTTGCACGATAGATTACCCTATTAGCTAGTATTCAATTGTTTCATGCACGATAGATTATCCTATCAACTAGTATTCAATTGTTTCTTGCACGATAGTTTACACTATCAACTAGTATTCAATAGTTTCTTCCACGATAGTTTACACTATCAACTAGTATTCAATTGTTTCTTGCACGATAGTTTACACTATCAACTAGTATTCAATTGTTTCTTGCACGATAGATTATCCTATAAGCTATGCTGGCTAGTATTCAAATGTTTCTTGCACGATAGATTACCTTATTAGCTATGTTGGCTGGCATTTAATTGTTCCTTGCACGATAATTTACTGAAGATGTTCAATTGTCTGCCGATTTTTCAATGGAACATGGTCATAATGAGCCAATTAGCGGTTCACACGGAAACATGTAATTTGGGCAGGTTGCAACAACAAAAAATGTGTGTGTTGTGTGTGTGGGGGGGGGGGGTATATTTATAGCGTTCTGAAACTTATACGTAATCTTGTATAAATAAAACATAATAAAATTTTCAAAATATTATCGTAAATTTTGAATTTAACAAACTTTAATTACTTGCTAACAACTAAGCCATGTAATTTCATTTATACTGCATTCAAACTGCATTTCTAGTTTTGCTATTGCAATCTACTCCTAACAGCATAATCAACACCGACAAAATAAAATTGTACGGTACTCGACTGTGTTATTACAAGAAATAAAAAGATATTTTACAAAACTGTATTGGGTTTAAAAGAAATTGAAATATATTTGAAATAGATATTGTTTTCTTAAACTGTATATATATATATATATATATATATATATATATATATATATATATATATATATATATATATATATATATATATATATATTGCCTAATCAAGCCATATGTTTTGTCTAAAATCTTCTTATAACCGATACGCAACATCAGAAATTAAATTATCCATGATCCAATATTTCATTAAAATATCTCGCTTATAATTAAAGTAAGTAAAGTTCCTTTCGTACCTGACGGTCAGCAGGGCAGGTGAAGTAAATTTCACCTCTTTCTCTTTCTGAGACCTCGGCATATGATGCATATACAATTAACTATGTAGGAAAATTAAATTGTATCGATTGTATCTCGCATTGTTACCTCATGCTGTCAAAGCGACTATTATGTCTATGTAAAATTAAAAAACAAACAACATACGAACCTCTCATAGCCTGCTCCTATCGCTGCCAACACACAATGTATTGGAGCCTATGACTAGAAAAAAACAAGCGTCCGTTGTTATCCTACCCTATCTCTGTCATGCTCGATCTACTTCACGTTCGTCAAGCTACAAGCCTCAGGTAATGCGATCCCCACCCCCCGTTAACCCGGGGTTTAGCGGCCTGGTATATCGACAGGCAAATCTCTCTGCCACTAGTGAGGGGGCGAACTATGTGACCAGGATTACCTACCCCCACTCCCACACATTACCCCTATTGCGATAGAAAACTTGAGTCTATTGGAGTTATACATTTTCTTCCCGGTTCCAAAGAAAAGAATAAATAAGGCATGCATTTAAGTGTATACAAGCGCTGGCGTATAGGGAAAATGTGTTCTGTATTAAAACGAAATATTGCCGAGTTATGTAAGCTACGTGCTGTGACGTGGCTCTGTGAAAAGAATATTTGAATAGATTAGAGATCCACTGAAGCGTTTCTCCTAAAACATTTTAATTTTTAATTTATTCCGTGAACTTTGAACTGCTGGGGGTTGTCTTGATTGGTGGAAATATGAAACAGTTGCAGGCAGGTTGGAGATTTCAGATGTTTGCCTTGTTCTAGTCTGTCATGTTCCTTATATTGTCTGTTAAGTTCCTTCTCTAGTCTGCCATGTTTCTTCTGTTGTTCCTTCTGTTGTCTGTCATGTTCCTTCTGTTGTCTGTCATGTTCCTTCTCTTGTCTGTCATGTTCCTTCTGTTGTTCCTTCTCTTATCTGTCATGTTCGTTCTGTTTTTAGCAAGTTCCTTATCATGTCTGTCATGTTCTATAGTACATACGCCACTGATCATTCTACAGACACCACTGCTTATTGCACACACTTTTGTACAAATACACATAATATACACAAATATATACTTTTGTACACTCACCCACTCACCATTGTACACACACGATTGATGATTGTATACACCACTTATTGTCGTACACACCACATACCATTGTACACAGCATTGTACAGAGGCGTAGCGACCCTTCCTTGCGCCCGGGGACAAACTTTCAATTTGACGACCCCCTCGGGAGCAACCTTTCAATTTTCAATTTGCGCCCCCCCCCCCCATCACCCCTCAAAATTTCAATTTGCACCCTCCCCCATATATTTTTATACTTATAATAAAAAAAATACAGCTAAAATGAGATTTTAATTTGTTTTTCCAATCCATTTAGGCGCCCCCTAAGGTCGGCGCCCGGTGACATATGCACCCCCGCCCCCCCCCCCCTCGCTACGCCTCTGCCATTGTACAAACACCATTGTACACAAACCATTCTACACACACGACTGATGATTGTACACACACCACTTATTGTCGTACACACACCACTGTACACATACCATTGTACACATACCATGGTACACACCCCATTGTATACACACCATTGTACACACACCATTGTACACACACCATCGTACACACACGACCATTGTACAAACACCATTGGACACATACTACTGATAATTCCCAAATGAACATCAACTAATTACATCCATGAAAACGGAAGAATGTGGTAAACTCCACCTTTGTACGTGTGGTTTGTGGTAGCCTCCACTTTTGTACGTGTGGTTTGTGGTAGCCTCAACTTTTGTACGTGTGGTTTGTGGTAGCACGTATCGTCTATTCACGCAATGAACGTGAATTTTTGTGGAAAACTTTGTAAGACGTCTGAAGTGTCTACAGAACAGGCCACTAACATGTATATAGATCAACGTGCCATTTGTGAAGGGGTGTTGGGTTTCGTCATGCTATGATGGGTGGTGTAAGGAGGGCTGCACGGGGTCGGGAAAGGTTTTTCATGGAAGAGTTGTCGTGTTTCTTTTGTGTAGTAGTAGAAGTCGTTTAAGATTTAAACGTCCGTGTTTTGTATAACTCTAAATGTCCGTGTGTGATAAAATTGAAATGTCCGGGTTTGATAAAATTGAAACGTCCCTGTATAATAAGATTGGAATGCCCGTTCTTTGTTAAATCTAAATGTTCGTGCTTTTTAAAAATCTTTTTGTCCAGGTTTAATAAGTTGTACATATCCATTTTTAATTTGTAAATGTCCGTGTTTAATAGTCTAAGTTTCAGTTGTTTGTTTGGTTGTTTTTTTCCGTAAAATAATGATTTTTAATGAAGTGTTGGTCTCTTTTTACCATATATTTATGCCAAGTTTAGTGTCTTAACATATGTGCTCGAATTTCAAAGCGCTCTACATTGTACCTTTCAAATATATGTTTATTAAGTTTACAAGATCCAGCAGGTCCCTGGGATTTACAGATCCTAAAAGTTTCTAACATTATCCAATATAAATCCTAAAAGTTTCTAACATTATCCAATATAAATCCTAAAAGTTTCTAACATTATCCAATATAAATCCTAACTCTCTTTAACAGTAAAGCCCATACAGGATTATCAAGTTCCTGAAATATTTTGATTTACTGTAAAGCTTACTTAAGTGTTAAATGGCGCCCTACCGACTTAAAATTCAGTTTCCAGACAGGTACTCGCAGTTGTGCGTTGACTTGACATGGGTTCGAGCCTGGCAACTTTTCCTGGCTGGCAGTCCCTAATTGTTCCACTCGACCACCCCGCCCCATATCTGGTACCCGAGTAAACAAAACTTGAACAGGTTCAAGTAGCACATGACGGAATTGTTGACTAGCGGAGTTTTGTCTTCAGGTGCGTGACTTTATACTACAACTTCAAATGCAAATTTTGTGCTTAAGTAAGCTACAGGGGTATCGCATCAACTGTTGCGTTAACGTAGGTCTTCAGATTACAGGCAGGGTTTTAGACAAATAAGTATGGTAGCGAAGATCTAAAGATTACACACGATGAAAATTGGTCTGGTGTCTCCGATGTTGTGGTTGTTGTTTTTTTTTTTTTTTGCTTGAAGGACAAGGTCGTATCTCTAAGGACTGTTTTGATGTAGCGTATAACCCTTGACAGCTGCAGGGAAAAAGTAGCACAGGTATATGACGAAACAAAAAGTTACACAGATATATGACGAAACAAAAAGTTACAGAGATATATGACGAAACAAAAAGTTACACAGATATATGACGAAACAAAAAGTTACACAGATATATGACGAAACAAAAAGTTACACAGGTATATAAAGAAACAAAAAGTTACACAGATATATGACGAAACAAAAAGTTACACAGATATATGACGAAACAAAAAGTTACACAGGTATATGACGAAACAAAAAGTTACACAGATATATGACGAAACAAAAAGTTACACAGATATATGACGAAACAAAAAGTTACACAGATATATGACGAAACAAAAAGTTACACAGATATATGACGAAACAAAAAGTTACACAAGTATATGACGAAACAAAAAGTTACACAGGTATATGACGAAACAAAAAGTTACACAGGTATATGACGAAACAAAAAGTTACACAGGTATATGACGAAACAAAAAGTTACACAGGTATATGACGAAACAAAAAGTTACACAGGTATATGACGAAACAAAAAGTTACACAGGTATATGACGAAACAAAAAGTTACACAGATATATGACGAAACAAAAAGTTACACAGGTATATGACGAAACAAAAAGTTACACAGGTATATGGCGGAACAAAAAGTTACACAGGTATATGGCGAAACAAAAAGTTACACAGGTACATGATGGAACAAAAAGTTACACAGGTATATGATGGAACAAAAAGTTACACAGGTATATGGCGGAACGAAAAGTTACACAGGTATATAAAGAAACAAAAAGTTACACAGGTATATGATGGAACAAAAAGTTACACTGGTGTATTACAAAAGAAAACTGCGAATGCATTGTAAAACAAACCACCACTTTCACAGCTATGGTGTACATTACAAGTTGTCATCCATGGGTCGTGGAAGTTAGAGATGATTTAACTTTTAGCGACAATCTGTGACGATATGAGAGGAGGGGGGGGGGGAATAGGAAGGGGGTGACGTCACTTACGGCTGATCGATTAGTACACACTGAGCTAATTTTTCTGTCTCCATGGTCGAATAGTAGAGCAAACGACTACTAACCCAAAAATCTCGAGGACAAATCAGGGTTCGAATCCGTAGAGCGTCCTTCAGTCCAACCAGCTCAGACTGGTACCTAACTTACGTCGAGGGAAGTAAAGACGGCTGGGCTTAGTGACCACAGTATCCCTTCATATGCAGGTCACAAAAAACAGGCGAACTCCGTGGGAACCTTACCAGTGGTCAAACATCTTCCGTCAGATATCCGATGAATACCCCCATTAGTGAACCATCCTTAATGTAATACAATTCAGTTCAAGTCCAAGGTCTTTCGATTTTGGAGTTTTGGGCAAGGTTTGGTGTAACTGCAATCAAATTCAGTCGATACTATTTATTTTCAATAAAACAGAAACAAAATATAAACCATCCTAATATGTAATGACGATAGTAACAGACTGAGTTTCTCGAAAAATTCAAAGACAGAAAAAAGAAAAATGTAGAGCGTTGGGTAAGTTTTCAAAATCACGGTAAAAAATATTTTAGTTGATGACGTCAATCGTTTTAATTAAAGTTTTGTATGTTGTCAGGTTGCGTTATTTAATAGGCCTAAATCAATTATTTTAATTATAAAAGTGTATTCCAACTTCTGATTTATACGCCCGTTTCAATATTGTTTGGTTTTGTTAGTGTAGGTTGGTTTATTTTATTGTCGAAAAACACTTCAAAGTGGACTACTGCTAGACGTATAAACTTTATAGTGGTGTAGGACAAACAGTTATATATATATATATATATATATATATATATATATATATATATATATATATATATATATATATATATATATATATATATAAATATATGTATATATATATATGTATATATATATCTATATATCTATATATATATCTATATATATCTATATCTATATCTATATCTATATCTATATATATATATATATATATATATATATATATATATATATATATATATATATATATATATATATGCCTAAATAAAATCAAATAATAAACAGAATTAAACAATTATATATATAAAAGAATATTGTTTTTACATACCAAATTTTCTTACTAAGAACTGAATGCGGGTCATTTTTATTTGACTAAATGTGTTTTATGCTATTTTAAACCTTAAACATAAACTGCGGAGGACTGCTATAGATACAGATGTTTGAACGGGAATATTGTTTGATTTCATGTGTCTCATCGTACTCAACATAAGATACCGGCTGCTTATAATATTTATATTATTTTTCTTTTATCCCAATTTTTTTTTAGCTCTACGTATAAGCCCAAACCCCCTCAACCAATCATGTCGATTTTAAAAAAAAATCTCTTGAATCACTATTTAATGACACTTTTGCATTATGAGGTTTAAAATTAAAATTGTAATTGGACTTTTGTATTCAATCTATGTATAAGTAAACCATAATATTTGAATGCAAGTAGGCTCTTTAAAATTGTCCAGGCCTTTTGATCCTGTCCATAGAGGCCTATATATTTAAGAACACCTCCCGTTTGTAATGTGAAAACACGTGATGTAATCCGAACGATTGACCTTGACCAACTCACTCCACCATCCAGCACTAACAGCGTCCACAGTGACCTGTGACCTTTTCTTTTCACAGGTGAGACAAGCAGAAGGACAAGATGGTTCACACCTTTAGACGTCTGCTGTTGTTGCTGCTTATCACTGGTGTGTTGGTGCCTTCATTTTACAACTAGCAACGTTACACCACAGCCATGTTTGCAAATATTAACGTTAGAGTTCCTACATTAACAAATGTACTTTGTTACAGTTCCTACATTATCAAATGTACTTTGTTAAAATTCCTACATTAACAAATATACTTTGTTACAGTTCCTACATTAACAAATATACTTTGTTACAGTACCTACATTTACACATGTACTTTGTTACAGTTCCTACAATAACAAATATACAATAACAAATATACTTTGTTACAGTTCCTAAATTAACAAATATACAATAACAAATGTACTTTGTCACAGTTCCTACATTAACAAATGTACTTTGTCACAGTTCCTACATTAACAAATGTACTTTGTCACAGTTCCTACATTAACAAATGTACTTTGTTACAGTTCCTACATTAACAAATGTACTTTGTCACAGTTCCTACATTAACAAATGTACTTTGTTACAGTTCCTACATTAACAAATGTACTTTGTCACAGTTCCTACATTAACAAATGTACTTTGTTACAGTCCCTACATTAACAAATGTACTTTGTCACAGTTCCTACATTAACAAATGTACTTTGTTACAGTTCCTACATTAACAAATGTACTTTGTCACAGTTCCTACATTAACAAATGTACTTTGTTACAGTCCCTACCTTAACAAATTTACTTTGTAACAGTCCCTACCTTAACAAATTTACTTTGTTACAGTCCCTACCTTAACAAATTTACTTTGTTACAGTCCCTACCTTAACAAATTTACTTTGTAACAGTCCCTACCTTAACAAATTTACTTTGTTACAGTCCCTACCTTAACAAATTTACTTTGTTACAGTCCCTACCTTAACAAATTTACTTTGTTACAGTCCCTACCTTAACAAATTTACTTTGTTACAGTCCCTACCCTGCCAAGTGCTGTAGGCGATGATGACGTAGGTGAGTGTGACCTGACCAAATGCTACACACAACACTGTGACCCCTGTCAGTGAGTACACTCTCACCTTCAGTTTTTTATTCTTTGTCTTGCAGGTGAAACATGCATTGCCTCTTTAATAGTACATCCATAACTGGGGAGGGGGGGGGGTCGCTAGACTAGTGTTTTACGTTGATTTCTGCCCCCCCCTCTTCCTTCTTTATTAATAGTTTAATACTAATAATCTTTTGGATAAATTAAATATTTTTGTATAGAGAACATTTGTGTATGCAAGTTTTGAATTTAATATCTATCATTTAAATTCTTACCCTAATTGCTTTTTTTTAATATGTCGCCTTCGTGATTGTCTTAATTAACTAGGGCTACATAAAACAAAAATATTATCGTGTGTTGAATTTTTTTATACTGTTAGCTCTTTAGTCAATATTTGATGGCGGGGTTGGCGGAGTGTTGAGAGGAGAGGTGGGGGGGGGGGGGTGTCAAGTACTCGCTTTTGACAAGTTTGAAACAAGTAAACAGATACCTTATATATTAATGGGGAGAAGGGCGTCCGTAAGTGACGACATAAAGTAGGACGGGGGGGGGGGGTCTAGTCATATGTGACGCCTTGTAACTATTATGTATGATGTAAGAATCTGTTTAACTTGTGGGTCGTTTATGTACGAGATAAAATAACAGCAACATAACTATGAGATAATACTTTTATATTTAAGGAGAAAACGGGACCGTGTGGACTGTTTGAAGACCAGTGTGATCAGCAACCCTAACTGTCTGGAGATGACCCGAACTTTATGGAATAACGCCATTGAGGGGTTGGAAAGGGAATTGGCTGAACAATGTGCAGCCGATTAGCATTACATGAAGAATTATCTCCCTTTCTTTTTTTCAAGATGAAAAACTTCCCCTTCTGACGTACACAAAAATCTATTCGTCACGACGATTTATTAAAATGATTTAATTAAAATATTTTTTATTTGAAGGATTATATCTTTTGAGTTATTTTTTTCCTAAATTGAAAAATATATGTTGTCAAATACATTTATTTAAAAATGTGTTGTTTTTATTACAAGCTTTTATTTAACTCACTTCCTCTGTCTGTCGTCAGTCTGTCTAGACGGAAACGCAGGAGTGAAAATTCGGACAGTTCTACTTGACCGATACGATTCACAGTTGGCACGTGGGTCAAGACATGAAGACAATGCAATCTGAAACTAAATTTGACTTAATTGGATGCCTAATTAATTTTTTATGAATTAATAAAAATTTGGACCGAATTAGTAGGCATGTCTAGCCAACCACACCACACGCGTCATCACCTTCAATAGCTGCGCCATCACGTAATGGCTGCGTTCAAAAACCATTGCGCGCCTACTGAACGTGATGTTCAGTAGGCGCGCAATGGTTTTTAGTCATGTAACTCTATTGTAAATAAAACATGTAAAGTACTGAAAAAAAAACTCATAAAAAACGTTTTAATAACAAGCTTTTATGTAATGATGCACTAAAAAGTAGAAAATAAATTATAGACTACTATTTAAATAACTATAAAGAAAAGCGTGGGTGTCTTCCTTAACATTAGTAAAGGTATCCAATAGATACTAAAGTGACCCACGCTTTTCTTTATAGTTATTTAAATAGTAGTCTATAATTTATTTTCTACTTTTTAGTGCATCATTACATAAAAGCTTGTTATTAAAACGTTTTTTATGAATTTTTTTTAGAAACTGTAAACGTATCAATCATTGTGTATTTCAAAAATGATATTATGATAGTTATAAGCTTTTACTGTATGTCAGAATACATTTTAGATACATTTGTAGGCATACAATACACAGATAGTCATTACAATCTGAGAATTAATTACTTATATTTATAATTCAGTTTTGAAAACTGTTTTCAAATATGCCATTGTACCTCCCTAACACTACGTCGTCAAATAGATCTAAATACTTTCTGCTATTTTTAAGAATCAGTGGAAGGCAAGTGGATAGATGTTCTTATTTATTTACATATTTATAAATAGAAAAACTCCATTTATGGTAATAATTTCGGGGATAGCCCTTTATTCAGAACCAATCAAAATATGATCAATTCAAGTGTGCCAAGTAAAAAAAGCCATTTTGAATAAAAAATATCAAAATTAATAAAAATGATAAACAACCACAGTAATATTTATTACTAATATTTTAATACGTAGCAGTAATTTATTAATGACTTATTTGAATGTATTGGTTTTAAATATTCATAAACTATTTATAGAACATAATTTTTAATCACGTTTTTACTTAACGGTTGTAAAAATACCTGTCCAAAGGAAACCCCTTTTCCTGTGTTACCCGTGACTAATATTAATAATAAGGAAAAGACTACCGGAATCTAGATTGAAAGGAAATAAAACAAGAACGTGTTTTTGACTTTTTCAACACTTTGTAAAACCAAAATGCAGGTATTTTAAGATATGGAGCACAACATGTATTTAGATGTGATTATCACCGTAGACATGGACTAATAAAAAAGTACTAGATTCTAGATCTAGATTCTTGATCTATCCAGAATTAATTGAATTAATAATTCTGGATAGATCAAGAATTCCAGAAGTAGAATCTTTCTAAAATATCAGAAATCTAGATCTAGATCTAGATCTAGATTCTAGATCTAACTCGGAGTTATTAATTTAATTTTGCTTTTTTTTTACAAGCTTTTATTTAACTTACTTCCTCTGTCTGTCGTCAGTTGTCAGTCTAGATCAGGGGTCTCCAAACTTTTGAGTCCGTGGGCCGCATTAACTATCAAATTTCAGTTCGGGGGGCCAGTTTTTTCCAGGCATGTCTTTAATTTCACTGGGCAAAGTTCCTCAGCCATCACCAACCAACGTTTTTTCCGTGGACAAAAAGATCGCAGCGGGCCGGATGAGAGGACCTCGCGGGCCGCATCCGACCCGCGGGCCGTAGTTTGGAGACACCTGGTCTAGATCGAAACGCCGGAGTAAAAATTCGGACACTTCTACTTGACCGATATGATTCACAGTTGGCACGTGGGTCAAGACATGAAGACAATGCAATCTGAAATTAAATTTGACTTAATTGGATGCCTAATTAATTTTTTATGAATTAATTAAAATTTGGACCGAATTAGTAGGCATGTCTATCCAACCACACCACACGCGTCATCACGTTCAATAGCTGCGCCATCACGTTCAGTAGGCGCGCAATGGTTTTTAGTCATGTAGGCCTAACTCTATTGTAAATAAAACGTAAAGTACTAAAAAAATTCATAAAAAACGTTTTAATAACAAGCTTTTATGTAATAATGCACTAAAAAGTAGAAAATAAATTATAGACTACTATTTAAATAACTATAAAGAAAAGCGTGGGTCTCTTTAGTATCTATTGGATACCTTTACTAATGTTAAGGAAGACACCCACGCTTTTCTTTATAGTTATATAAATAGTAGTCTATAATTTATTTTCTACTTTTTAGTGCATTATTACATAAAAGCTTGTTATTAAAGCATTTTTTATGAATTTTTTTTCTATTTTACATTAGGATTAGTGTTAAGATTACGGGTTAGGTTCAGGGTTAGTTATAAGATTAGATATAAAAACATTAGTTCTACATAACAGTTGATATTGCATAATAGGGGAATTCAATTCAATAATCACAGAAAAATGCCTCTGTCTGATTGGTTAGAGTATGAGTGGCCTTATGAGGGCTATTTGTAGTGAACTGACAACCCCTTGGGCACTAGGCCCAACCCAATAGCCAAGGTGCAGACAGCCCCATGGCAACAATTCCATGCTTGCCACTTCTGAAGTGCCGACTTTTTCGAATATTGTTAAATTTAAATGGAAAATGTTATTTTATACCCTAACCATTACAGCGTTACTTAAGTGGCTGAGTAATTGCTTGTGAAGTATAGGCCTAATTTTTATAGGCCCTAATTAAATTTTAACATTTATTTAATCAGGCCCAAAGCTGCTTGATTGCTTTTTTTATCATAACTATTATTACCATAAATATCAAATTCTGCCAGCATTTTTTTTTACCTTTTTACTAATAGCCTAATGTTTAGGCCAAGTAGTTTAAAAAGTTTATAATCTCATTTATAGTGAATGCAACCATTTTTAGCAGACCATATTATAACATTATAATGTATTTTTAGTTTTTATCACAAGTTTAGTGTTTAAAGTTTAATGACTGATAGAAAACATAATTTTTCCATTTCTGATATAACTGTCCATTTCAGAATCCAAATGAAGACAGTGAATGGAATGACGCCTTGCGTCGGTACAACATTATACCTGAAAAAGAAAAGGAGAAAGAAATTACAGAAGAGGATATTGTTAATATGCTTGAACAAACAGTAGAATCTAAACAACAAGGTGTGATCTTTTTAAATTATTCACAAATCCCAGTTTAGTATGGGGCCCCATCTCCACCCTTAGTGAAGCTAAGATAATCAACTGTGAATTATGATTTTTCATTTTTCTAAACTAAACATTTTAAAGCAAATTTTAAAGAAGTATGGGTTTTGGGTTTGTGTTTTTTTAAATAGTGTATTCAATATTCCACTTTAAAAGTTTCAATAGAACAAGTGAAATTCAAAACTTGATATTGATTGGTTGACTTCATCATATTATAGCATGGAGATACAGCCTTATAATTTCTAAACCAAATCATAACAGACAATACTTTCAATGTTGTTTTAGAGTAACATAAACTTGTTTTATTTAAAATATTAGCTGTATTAAACAGTAACAGTGTGAGACTGCTGTAACTGCGATAAAAAATTGATCAAACATATTGTGTTTTTGTCCAAATAAAATTTCCAATTTTTTTTTTCATGGCCTGGTCACATCCCTAAAATTACATAATTAGGTATATAACAAGTGGTTTAATTCCTATTTTTTTTTTCAAAAAGTGAACATAGAACCCAATTATTCTAACATGAAGTGTTAATTGATATGCCAGCCATCTAAAAAAACAGCTACTGTTTGTTGACAAACTCAGGCTTGACAAATATTATAATTATTTGAAATTTAATTTTTTAAATCGACATTTTAAAATGTGTCTTTAAAATTGGATCAGACTTGATCATACCTCAAATATAGTGAGTTACTATTGTTTATCTCAGTTGATATAAAGATTTAACTTCTAATCATGATGTCTTGTACTTGTACAAATCTAAAGAGGAGAAATTTCTCTAAACACTTCACAGGTAAAGGACTAGACGAATTAACACTGGATGAATTAAATGAAATAGAGGATGATCTTGATGAGGAGGATGAAAGAAGATTTGAAGAATACAGGTGTGTAGTGATTGTGTTAAATCGCTAGCTGATATCTTACAGGTATTTGTGATGGACTGTCAGCTGATATTTGTCAGGAAATTCATATTTATTTCAGTAAACAGTTGTATTTTTACTGAAATAAATACTAAATGATAATTAACTGATATCTAGAATTAAGTAGAATGCAGATCGATGTTAATTAAAAATCATGCATTTTAAATTGGTAATTTAAAGTATATTATTTTTGTGTTTTATAACTGAATATAAACCATATACCTACTTACGTATTCAACTAGATGATTTTGAAATGTTACTTTTATTATGGAAGTATTTAATTGACTTTTGTATACATAGACGTCAAAGGCTGGCTGAGTTAATGGCAATCCAGAAAAACGCAAGATTTGGAGATGTTGGAGAGATCAGCAAAGCTGATTATGTTACTCAAGTAAACAATGCAGGAGAAGGTGTCTGGGTTGTTTTACACATTTATAAAGACGGGTAAGTCTTCTGTTGTTGCTGGATCTGTCATGTGGTGTAACTATACTTGCTTTACTAAGTGTCATTTAGGGTAAAGCATCTTATATAATATCAAAAGATAACTAATATGAAGTAGTATATTAATCAATTTATTTAGTATTTTTAAAATCCAAAAATTGATGAGAAATACTTAACATTTTTAATAGAATTATGGTTACCTACTGACAAAATTTCCAGGGGCAGGCTACTCCCTTTTTTTGTAACAATTTAGTTTTGTAAAACAAGGTCAGTTAAAATTGCATCCCCTCATTTATGGAAGACCACAGATAGTGAACTGAAATCACTTTACCACCAACTGTTACAAAAATTATGTTATATCTATCAGTGACTGTTTATTCTAGTTATCAGGTCCTAAGAAGTTTTTAATACCATAACTATGTCTAATATTAATTGATGATTTTGTTCTATGATACCTATTCAGCATTTTATGATAATTTTTTCCCAGAATCCCCATCTGTAAATTGGTAAACAACCACCTGGTCAACTTGGCGAGGAAATTCCCACAGACAAAATTTTTGCGGAGTGTCTCGTCAGTGTGCATACCAAATTACCCCGATAAAAATCTGCCCTCCATTTTTGTTTATTTTGAAGGAGATTTGAAGAAGCAGTGGGTTGGACCATTTGCTTTTGGTGGGATGAATCTAAAACAGGATGGTAGGTTTAATTAACCATTTTCATTAGTCATTGCTGATGTTTTTTTTAAATTATGTTTAGTATCATCTTGTCTTTAGGCCTGTTCCTCTATTTTTTTAAAATATTGTTTGCTTTACTCAAGTTTAAAGCTTTATGTACAGATGCTACATTATATACACATTTTGTAAAGTATAATAAAAAGCTAGTAAGGGGTACAACTCTAGCTAGTGGTTCATAATTCATTGTAAAATATAAAAATAAATTAACATTTAAGAGTGTAAGCTATGTTTAAGTATTGTGAATGGTATTTAAATTATATAAATGGTGTTCATGTTTATTTTTCAAAATTTTACTTTTAAGCTTTATACAAACATTTGACAGTAGCCTATTTAATTTAAGTAAATACCATTGGACTGGGTATAGATGTGATGGAATAACTCAAGAGAGAGAGAGAGAGAGGGGGAGTTATTTCAGTGCTTGTATTAAAGCTATCATAAAATCTTCTCTTTTAAAAATCTTTCAATGTTGCCTATGCAAAAAATTATGATGTGTTCTGAATCCATGCAATTTTGTTAGCAATGACTGTTTCATCCCTTCAACTTTTCAAAGTTAATATGTTTGACCCACTTGAATGTTGCAGAACTTGAGTGGATGCTAGCGCAGGTAGGCGCTATTCAGTCTGACATTGAAAAGCCTGAAAAACCTGAGATTGAGGACGCCATGACAAGTGCAATTAGGCAAAGTCGGATCAACCAAGATGACAGTGATGATGATTGAAAGCAGTGTGTTTGACTGATGGAACAGCTGCCTTTTGTAAACATGTTGGGAATGGTTGATTGAATAGCTGTGAAAACAGATCTTGCCTGTTTTGAATAATGTGTGTGAATATCTTTTAAATAAGAACAAATAGAATTTTGTAGAATTGTTAAAGTATACATTTAAAAAACAACCTAGCAAAAACCTGGAAAAAAATTATTGTTGATGTAATTTTGATATTAATTATAAAATTAACACTGACGCACGCCTTAGTTCGAAACATAACTCATAGAGGGGAAAGCTTGGTTTGTGATTTGGGCATAATTACTATTGCCCATTTCTAATTATACCATCCAATAATAACTGTTGTTGAAAGTTTAAGGAATGTTTTTGTATATAAACATTTTAAATCTTAACTTGACTTAGTTATGTGTGGGTTCTTCTTATACCTGTGTGATTTTTTAAGCAAGGTGAGGGACTTTATTAATGTACATTTGTTGTTTCTGAAAGTTTTCTGTGTGCATTGTGATGTGATAAAATACTTTTACCTGCCAATAAAGAAAATATTTATAAAATACAAACTTGTGTTTCAATTTTTACTAGTAAAGTAATGCTAACCTTTCAGAACTAACAATTGTAACACTCACTCAATGGGGATGCTTATTAACCACTGAGGTAACAATATGTTACACAATCCTTAGAGCAGATGAAGTAAAGTTTATGTTTCTTGGCCTGTGCATGAAGGTGTGGTCAGCATATACCCAGCCACCTTTACTTTCCTCAATGTAAGTCAGGTACCCATCAAAGCTGGGTGGACGTCCATAGTGTGGATCGGGATCCGAACTCGAGACTTTCAGGCTACCAGCCAAACAAATTATAATAGGTGTTCTTGTTATATTCTGTGGCTGTATTTTAAATTAAGGGCATATATGTGGTCCTAGATCTTCCAATACACTGTCTACGTTAATTTTTTTGTATATTTCTACTGTTCTTTCTTTCTGAACTTATTACATATAGTTGGATTTGGTTCAAATACCTTTTTCTCATCCTTACATCTTGTATGGGGAATATATAAGAAAAACATTGAAAAATTTATATTTATGTAACTAAATTATAAGCCTTGTAGAACAATGGATAGCCCACTCGAACAATGTAAATTCATTATCATTTAGTACTAGATTTAGAACATATATTTAAATCGACCTAATACGCCTAGCAATATGTGAATAGTCTAATGGTTTCAAAAATTTATAAAGGGGGGAAAAAAAGCGAAAATCCCGCATCTAACTAGGTCAGCTACCAGACTCAGAGAAAGTTAACTGTGAATAATTTTAATGAGAATTATAAATGCTCTCCCCTGCTAATATGGCGACTTCGGTAACAAAAGCGTACCTTAGTTAGCTTAAGTTACTAAGTTAGATATAAAGTATAAAGAAGTGAAGGCCGACAACTGTAAAAGATAAAATTCAAAATCTTGTACTAGTTGGTATAGTGTTGTTCTTAATCTAAAAATGCTTACGTTCTTAGACTCTTTATCATGCAAATTTTAAAAGTAATTGCAAATCTTGCATTGATCTGCTTGAATTTTGTTTTTGTATGATTGTTTATTTTGTTACTTTCATAACTTTCACACTTTGTTTGTTGGCTGAGTCTGGTGTCTTAAAGTCTCAGACACTCCACTTCAAAATAATTATTAATTACTCCATTAGGCCTACTCATTACTACTGATTACAAAAGTGTGCACTGCCCACTGGTGTACAGTGAGAGTAGATCAGTCTTATCTAGATCTAGATCCTAGATCTAGCTGCCACTCTTTCTGTCAGTGCTTTAGCCAGTAGGCCTCCTACTGTCACTTTGTTTTTTAGTTTTGTTGTGAAATTGTAGTGTAGTCCAAGGTTTGTCTCTGAGTTTCAGTTTAGTTAGGCAAATGGTTAACATTCAGAATAGTTTTATTAGTTGACAAATAAGAAATGTTAGCTGCTATTTTTAAAACTTAAGAACTTAAGATTTTAAATCAGGCACTAGTCTAGATCTAGGCTGAATTTTAAATTAAGCAAAATGTTCGGAGAGCTCAAACTTTTGGAGATGTTGGCTTAAGAGCAAGGCTTAGTTAGGGTTTAGTTATTTACTGCACGCAATTATTGATGCCCATTTTAAAACAATTTAATTTTCAAAATAATTATTTTTTTTAAATGTCCCCAAAATGTTTGAAAAATTGTTGAAATAAAATGATTAGGTTGAAATTAATTCCTCCCCCATCTCTTGCTTATTGCTAGAAAAATAAGCAGTGTATGTGTTGGCCTATGCTGGCTATACAATAACATGATATAAAATGTTTTCTATCACTTTCCTGCAAATTATTTGTTAATATTTAATGTTTCATTTTGAAGTTATACCATTGAGGTCTAGATTTTTTAAAAAAATAGGCCAATTAAAAAATGTATCCTTAGAATTAATGAGGTATTTTTCTATTAACTCCAAAGACTGAAGCAGTTCGCATTATCAACAGTGCTGTTTTAAAGTTGGGGGCTATATATTTGTATTTAGCATCCTGGCTCGCATTTATTTTATGATTATCAGACGAAATTCTGATCTATGTATGGCCTTTTAATTTACATTGATTAAAAACTGACTAAATGCATGAAGTACCAATTATCCATGTTCATTTGTAAAATCAAATTTTAAAATTGCTTTTAATTTTCTTTGTGTAGGAACTGGACATGGTAACTGCTTGAGGGATATTTGAACAAGGCATCATGTTCACTGTGAAAAGGTAAACAATATTAAAATCTGTTTATCTAGAGAGTAAAATAGAAATTAGGCTACAAACAAGTTAATAAAAAGTCTAGTGACAATTTAAGCGCAATTTCTTAATTAATTTTTTGTAACCGAACAAAAGGATATTTTTTGAAAACTTTCTTCGGCAATATTGTTCTAAATTATGACAGGAATCGATTGCTAAATGTTTCAAGTCGCTAAGTGGTCTGGTTGCCGAGATATAGGCCAAAAACTGCTTTTTTTGAGGTTTTTTGGCTTTTCCGGGAAATCCAGGAAGGAATTCCGGGAATTTTTTTGGCCCCCAATCATCCTCGGAACTTGCTTAACATATTTGCTTTTGGAACTAGTCCTCGATATTGCTTCGTTGAGGAGGAGATATGACTTAAAGCTGCGGACACACATCCATTCATCCATCCATCCAGAAATAACGAATTAATAATCGCAATTGTCAGTATGGAAATTGCGCTAAAAAATTTCCTTTTGAGCAAAATAAAACAAAAATTTATTGTAAAGAATTTTACTTTTTAAAGTAATAGACGAGGAAGCTAAATAGCTTTTTCCGAGTCAAATTTTAGAGGACATCTGTCATGATTAGTTTAACACATACATTTTAAAAATCAACAATGGTTAGGCCTATGTTTCTGTGTATGAAATGATATCTTGTGGTCAGCACCATTAATTCCTGCCATCTTTTTTTTCTAGACTATTGTCACTTTCCATATAGTTCAGTAGATTAAAAAATGTGCTATGAACAGTTTTGTTTTGTGTAACCCTTTCTATTTATAAAGAATGTGTCTTAGTAGATCTTTTTCAGTATTTTATGTTGTTGATCATTTTTAATTGATTACATAATGTTCTTCACTTGTATTTTATGTTGTTGATCATTTTTAATTGATTACATAATGTTCTTCACTTGTATTTTATGTTGTTGATCATTTTTAATTGATTACATAATGTTCTTCACTTGTATTATATGTTGTTGATCATTTTTAATTGATTACATAATGTTCTTCACTTCTTTTGTCTGCTTCAGATCTGGGAGACAAGTGAAACCCAATGTTAAATACGCCAGTGAAGATTCAAAATCATCCGAAGGTCCCAAGAAAAAATGTGAGCGTTCAGGTTGCCCAGCAGTTCATCCCATTTGTTTTGCTGGAGCAAGTGAAAGGTTAGCTCATAATATTTTAAACCACTTTTTTTTCATAACGGGTAATGTTATTGAAATGTTGTCTCGCTATATTTTAAATCACTTTTTTAGTAAGCTTATTACATCACATTTCCTGATTTCTCTTCAATCATGATTTTCGGTTCCTTCTGATTACCAGCTTACTAGTGGCCCTATTGAGGTGTCTAATCCTATCAGATTAAGGACCAGGATTAGGTTTAGTTATAATCATCTTTAATCTTTTCTTCTTCTTCGTTCTTAATTATTAGTGTTGAAGGGGATAAAGATTTATCTGCCAGTGGGTTTGAACTCGAGACTTTGTTCGAATTTATCAACCATGAGCTTTTTGCCGACTCGACCGCGCCTCCAACACAATTAAGCGTTACGTGTCAACTGGTTATGCGCCATTGAGGCCATTGACTTCGATTTCAGCCTGCTTTTCTTTTTGGATTTACTTCCATAGCCTTTGTCCAACCAAGAACAAACTACAAGGCAGCAGTTGTTTAATTTTGGAGTTGTCTCTCCTTGAACAGTGGCTGTCCCCAGCTAACGAGCCTTATCTGCCCAAGGGTTCGAACTCGAGACTTTTCGGTTTAGCAACCATGAGCTTTACCGACTCGACCACGCCGACCCCTATCATCTTTAATGATCTTATCAAATAAGTAGTAATGGCCAAGCAATGAGTTCTTTTTGATTAATGCTGTTAAGTAAATATAAATTATCATTTGATTTACCGGATGTTACAATGAGTTTTTCTATTTATCAGATGTTCAGGGGCTAACTGGACTTCAAGATGGGGCCACATAACCTTAGGAGAACATTACTGCAATGAATGTTTTGAATATTACTACAGAAGGTTAGTAGATTTTTTAAGTGCTTTTAAAATAACATTTTATAATTATCTTGAACGTACTAAATTTAAAATATAAATGTATTCAATGTATTTTTTTTAAAATATTTTTTAACTGAATAAAATTCTAAATAAATTTTGTTTTTATTTCAGCACCAAAGGTGGGTACGAGGTGTACGAGAAGTGGAAGAGACACTGGTCATCTAAAGCGAGGACCGAGGCAGCCGTTGCTAATTTTATGGTGGACCAGATCATGCCCTACTGGGTCCAGTGTCAGGCCGAGGGCTGTGGCAAGTGGAGGCAACTCTCAAGAGATTCCGATTTAACGCCAGAGTTCATCGACAGTTTTCAATGTGGCATGACAACCACACAGAACTCAACATCCAAGGTTTCTTATTGTTGTATTCATGTTTCACTTAAACACATTTTTAGAAATCTTTATCTTGATCCTAATACTTAGTCACTTAATAAGTTACTCTAACTTTTTATGATTAATAGTTTTAATACAACTTTGTTAGGAGTTATTTTTTAATAATCATATAATTATTAACTTAATAATTTTTCTGTCAAGTAGTATTTTTCACTTTAATTTTTTTATGTTACTTCAAATGTATTGGCAAAAAATTTAGTATTTTAAAATTGGGAATTATTGTGTTCACAGAAAATGAAACAAAGCGCCTGCAGTGTCCCAGAGGATGAGGCAAGTGCTAAATTGTTTCACTATCCTTTTTTTATGTAAACTGTGATCTGATCAGTCCACTCTGTCACATAATGTTCTCTACCACTGTAGGGACTTTTCCTGCTTAAGTAAAATATATCTATGAAACTCATTAGCGCCAGATGAAGTAGAGTTCCTCTCAACATATGTAGTCACTCTCCTTAACTTTGCCTTCACTCAACTTGCCCTGTGCCAGTATGAGCTCTTCAGACCACATCAACCTTGGGATTTGAGTCTGAAACAGAATTTGAGCCTTTTTTTTAAAATCTTATTTCATCTCAATATTTCCTACCTTATGAAGTCCACTTGTGAAGAAATATTTATTTACATTTTTCAAAGCATAGATATTTTTGAATAATTATATTAATAAAATAAAATTTGCATAGTTTATGTGAAAATTACTGTTATGGATACCATTTTTTTCTCATACACAGAGGGTCCATTATGTACATAGTCCACTGTGGTTGATACAGAACAGATGCACATCTTTCTTGAAAAAATCCCCTGCGGCGCCATTTCTAATCAACTACTACGCTGATGGTGTGGGCTTGAGTCCGACTGAAGAGGTGGCAGAGTTCACCAAAGAACAGAAAAGTTGGTGCATTTTTACAGCCTATTTTTACAGCCTAATTGGGTTTTTTTAAATTTCGTTAATTAAAATTACATTATAGTGAAAAATTAAATAATTTTAAATTTAAACTATTCAAAGTAAGATTCATAAACTTGAGTAATTTCGTTATCTTACAGAAAATCTTTGCCCATATGTTGTCCCCTTCCCCAAGGGAGAGCACCACATGCATGCCCTGGCCGTCACCCCTGACATGATGATGGAGGCAGAGATCGATGCCTTCCCACTGATGGCCCAGGAATGTCCTTACAACTATCTGGCCATCAGAAACCTTATCCTGGCCATTTGGGCGTTCAATCCCAAGGTATGAGTATACAGCAGTTGCCATTGATTTAAGTACCAGATTGAGTGTGTAAATATTTCTCATGTCTCACATTATAAAACAAGATGTTATTCACACTTAAGATTGTTTCATTAAAAAACTACAGCTACCTCCAATCTCCCTTTTTTACTCTTATATAAAACCTGTTACCATTTTTATTTTAAACAAATTTTTTTTTTTTTTTAAATATTCATGATGAACTATGTATTGGACTTTATTGTAATTTTTCAATGATGTTGAGCTTCTTAGTTTGCAGAATGTTTATATCCTCTGATGGTTCTTCTTGTGTATTCTTAATTTTAGTTTTGGAAGAGATTCCATCCAACACAATTAAGTATACATGTCAACTTGTTATGCTGTTGACTCCGATTTCAACCTGCTTTTCTTTGTGGATTTGCTGCCATAGCTTTATTCCAACCAAGAACAAACTACAAGGCAACAGTTGTTGGATTTTGGAGTTGTCTCTCCTTAGGGTTCGAACTCGAGACTTCGGTTTAGCACCCATGAGCTTTACCATCTCAACCATGCCAACCCCATCTGATGGATCAAAGTGAACTGTTCAAATTAATTGTAATTAATGTTCATTAATGATTATTTAATTTGTTCCAGGAGTGGGTGACCAAAGAAAAATGTATGCGCCAGATAATTTGCCGAGGCCTGACCAGGGTCAGCTGTATAGAGTTTTTGCCACAGATTTTAGCCTTCCTCACGTACCATAATTTTATAAACCAAGGACTAGTTACTCCTCCTGCATCTGTCTTGTCCTATTTAAATATTCCAGTAAGTTTTTTCAACCTCATTATTTTTTTCGCTTGTCTGGTGATTAGTTATACATGAAAGTATCATTATTTCTTATACTAATTTAGTAACTTTTGAAACTTTAAAGAAACCTTCATTTATAAGTAACAATATAAGCCAGTATTGAAAATGAATACATGTTCGCTCAAGAAACAATAAGTTACGATACCAACCTAACACCATAAATTTAATAATTATTTTTATACGTTTTTTACATCATTTCAATGTTATTAACTATTGACTATTTCGGGATTCTGTGTTTGTGGACAACCACATAAAATATGATCGTGTTTTGTTTCAGGGTTCCGTAATTGTTGTAGGGGCTGGCATTAGTGGTCTGGCTGCTGCCTACCTGTTAAAGTCTCATGGCTGCAAGGTAAGCTTTGATTGCAATTAGCCTACCTGTTAAAGTCTCATGGCTGCAAGGTAAGCTTTGATTGCAATTAGCCTACCTGTTAAAGTCTCATGGCTGCCTGCAAGGTAAGCTTTGATTGCAATTAACTTGCCTCATTCCCACAGTCTATGTTGTTGGAGAATCTTTTTTTCTCTCTAAGAGTTTACCTCTTTTTTTATTTCGGCATATGAAATCAAGCTGTATCATTTCCATCTGCAGGTGACTGTAGTAGAGTCCAAGTCTAGGTTGGGTGGTCATATACATGACGTAACAAATTTTGTTTCTATCTGCAGGTGACTGTAGTAGAGTCTAAGTCTAGGTTGGGTGGTCGTATACATGACGTAACAAATTTTGTTTCTATCATCAGGTGACTGTAGTAGAGTCTAAGTCTAGGTTGGGTGGTCGTATACATGACGTAACAAATTTTGTTTCTATCCTCAGGTGACTGTAGTAGAGTCTAAGTCTAGGTTGGGTGGTCGTATACATGACGTAACAAATTTTGTTTCTATCCTCAGGTGACTGTAGTAGAGTCTAAGTCTAGGTTGGGTGGTCGTATACATGACGTAACAAATTTTGTTTCTATCCTCAGGTGACTGTAGTAGAGTCTAAGTCTAGGTTGGGTGGTCGTATACATGACGTAACAAATTTTGTTTCTATCTGCAGGTGACTGTAGTAGAGTCCAAGTCTAGGTTGGGTGGTCGTATACATGACGTAACAAATTTTGTTTCCATCTGCAGGTGACTGTAGTAGAGTCCAAGTCTAGGTTGGGTGGTCGTATACATGACGTAACAAATTTTGTTTCCATCTGCAGGTGACTGTAGTAGAGTCTAGGTTGGGTGGTCGTATACATGACGTAACAAATTTTGTTTCTATCTGCAGGTGACTGTAGTAGAGTCCAAGTCTAGGTTGGGTGGCCGTATACATGACGTAACAAATTTTGTTTCTATCTGCAGGTGACTGTAGTAGAGTCTAAGTCTAGGTTGGGTGGCCGTATACATGACGTAACAAATTTTGTTTCTATCCTCAGGTGACTGTAGTAGAGTCTAGGTTGGGTGGCCGTATACATGACGTAACAAATTTTGTTTCTATCCTCAGGTGACTGTAGTAGAGTCTAGGTTGGGTGGCCGTATACATGACGTAACAAATTTTGTTTCTATCCTCAGGTGACTGTAGTAGAGTCTAGGTTGGGTGGTCGTGTACATGACGTAACAAATTTTGTTTCTATCTGTAGGTGACTGTAGTAGAGTCCAAATCTAGGTTGGGTTGTCGTATACATGATGTAACAAATTTTGTTTCTATCCTCAGGTGACTGTAGTAGAGTCTAAGTCTAGGTTGGGTGGTCGTATACATGATGTTGAGATGAACGGCTCACACGTCATCACCAGTGGTAATGTGATGAACGGCTCACACATCATCACCAGTGGTAATGTGATGAACGGCTGCATCAACAACCCCATAGCCATCATGGCGTATCAGGTCAGTCTAGTCTTGTCTGATTGGTTTAATTTTCAATTGTGTAAGGATGATTTTGACTGGTCAATTTAGTTGGATGGCTTTTGGTGCTAAATCTTGTTTGATTTGCACTTTTTTATTATAATTTTAAAAATTCCTAAAAATAAATTACCTTGATTAAAGAACACCCTAATTGAAACAAACCACTCTGCTAAATGTGTATTGAGTCAGCCATACCTCACTAAGACTACACCAGAACTAACTTTGGTTTTGTAATATTTGCATAACAGCCTCTTTATTTTTTTATTTGTCGTTAAGCCTTAATATAGTGTTGATTTGAGCAGAAGTGAATAATATTTGAGCTGAAGTGAATAATTTTTTAGCAGAAGTTAATAATACTTTAACAGAAATTAATAATATTTTAACAGAAATGCATAACATAGCAGAAGTGAATGTTTTAAGCTAAGCTTTAGAACTGACTTGCAGATTTCAACAAAAATATAAAAAGCACTAGAAAGGACCTTCTAACATGTGGCTGCTAACATGATCCAAAGTTTTAATCTACTTAGTTTATAAAACAACATACAGCTTCCGTTTTATTTAAATTTATAGTGTTCTAAATGGGAAAAATACAATTTTGTGTGGAAAAAAATATTTCTCATTGCGAATTATTGTATTATTTAGAGTGTATCTGTATGTTTTTGTCAAACTTTGTGTCAAGCGCTGTTATGATTTATCAGTTAGGTATTGAATTGAAAGAACAGAGTGACAACTGTCAACTTATCACTGCCACTGGACAATGCCTTGATGAAAAACTGGATCGAAGGATTGAATTTCACTACAACGCTATCTTGGATATTGTCTCGGAGTGGAGAAAGAACAAAGCCCCATCCTCAGACATCCCACTGATTCGTGAGTTGTCTTCAACTTATCAGTTTATAGGTTGGCAGGGTTAGGCTGGTAACTTTAAAACATTAGTTCTTAACCTGGGTCCCAGAGGTTTGGTGTGTCTGTCTCAGGGATTCGCTGAGGTCAAGACACACACCTGACTCGTATGATAAGTGATCAGATTTTATCATTGCAGACACTATTTGATACCTTTATAAAGACTAAGAACCATTGCTTTAAAAGCTCAAGTTGAGATCCTGAGTCCACCCTACTCTGATGGGTATCAGACTCACGTTAAGTAAACAGAGGCTTAGCACTAACCACATTATTGATGTATATGCAGAACTCATAAAGCCAGATGAACTACTTCATCTGCTCTATTGTGTGCCTGCTCTATTGAGTGCCTGCTCAGGAATGATAACTTTAACTTGCCCCACCTGAAATTCCTCTGTATTTGTTTCTTTGTCTTACAACCTACAATAATTATAGAATAATTTGTGTAAGTCATTAAAACTTAACTTAACCTCAACTGGCCACATATTGAAAGAGAAGATTTACTGTATTTTTTTTATTCAGATAAATTTAAAGAACTTCATGGAGAATTTGTGAATGAAACTCAAGGTTTCTTTACTGAAGTAAGATTTTTCCCTATCATTTTCTTGAAGTTTTTCTTTAGTTTTTGCTTTATGTGCAAGTATGGTACAAAGTGCTGCCACAATCAAATATTATCCAACCATTTTGTTTTGCACGTAGTCTCACCTGGACACTTTACCTGGGCTAAGTTATTAGTAAAAGATTTGTCACTTTTTTAAAGATCTTCTCAAGTGGCGCAAGATTGCCTTTTACTCACACACAACTATCACAAACACCATTGTAAATTCCTATGGAAAGATTTAAACACAGCCATCCACCATAAATTGCACTTGTCTGTGTGCATCTGTACCCAGCTATTTACCACAAAATTGCACTTGAGTTTTTGAACTGCTAGACTCTGTACAGTTCTACATAACTACTCATGATAAATTGCACCTATTTTTTATAAACTGCTAGTCTATGTACAGTTCTACATTATCCACCATAAATCGCATTCTAGTTTTTAAACTGCTAGTGTGTCTACAGTTCTACACAACTATCCACCATAAATTGCACTATAGTTTTTAAACTGCTAGTCTATGTACAGTTCTACACAGCTATTCACCATAAATTGCACTATAGTTTTTAAACTGCTAGTCTATATACAGTTCTACACAGCTATTCACCATAAATTGCACTACAGTTTTTAAACTGCTAGTCTATGTACAGTTCTACACTATCCACCATATATTGCACTTGTTTTTAAACTGCTAGTCTATGTACAGTTCTACACAGCTATTCACCATAAATCACACTAGTTTTTAAACTGCTAGACTGTGCACAGTTCTACACAGCTATTCACCATAAATAGCACTATAGTTTTTAAACTGCTAGTCTACAGTTCTACACTATCCACCATAAATAGCACTATAGTTTTTAAACTGCTAGACTGTGCACAGTTCTACACAGCTATTCACCATAAATCACACTAGTTTTTAAACTGCTAGACTGTGCACAGTTCTACACAGCTATTCACCATAAATAGCACTATAGTTTTTAAACTGCTAGTCTACAGTTCTACACTATCCACCATAAATAGCACTATAGTTTTTAAACTGCTAGACTGTGCACAGTTCTACACAGCTATTCACCATATTCCTACTGTCATCTGATCGCAGCTTGCACCAAACAAGGCCCCATCCTACCACTATTTTCAGAGATTTTGGAGTGAATTAAAGTTGTTACACCAAAATTACTCCACTCTCTTCACTCAGGTTCATTAAAAAAATTCTTTAATGAGTTTTTTCAAATTTTGCAGTGTTTTTATTGTACTTTTTGTTAAGCAATGCACTGCTTTGTTAGAATTTTTTTTAAATTTCATGGTATCTGACAAGCTTACATTGAAATTCTGATTAAAATTTGATGGTTTCTGACAAGCTTACATAAACTTACATAAAAAGATAACTTACATAAATAGATCAACTTAAACAAACACATTAATTTAGATAGACATATAAACTTATATAAACACATACATTTGCATAAACCAAAAATTCTTATTAACCAGTACATAATCCTCATTTTATATGTATATTATAAAATATTGGACAAGTGTTCTTAAATTTTAATGTCAGATTTTAACCAACATAATGAGACCATTGTTTGATTTTTTATTTTTTAAATGTATACATTGATTCACATTATGAAGTTCATTATAAAGTTGGAATTCAATTTTTTAAAATAATTATGTTCATGCTTCAGTTGTTAATTTTAAATAGAAAAACATATTTTTTAATCTGTAATGATCTCTCATAACCTCTTGTTAATGGAAAGTAAAAGAGAAGTAGATTTAAATTGTAACTGTTACAAACAATTTTGTGGCTAATTAAATTCAAATTTTATTATTTTTATTCTCTATTCTGGAATTTGGGCAATTTATTTCACCTTTTTTTTGTGCAACTTATTTTCGCCTGTTGTTATTGTGCCTAGTATAGTTTATAACACTTTTGTTTGCTTGGCTTTACCTGTTATTTCTCCCACCTGCCCGTGTGTAAAGGGTGTCTTCTCACAGGTGGAGGAGGCGGTCATGGAGTTCCACCACAGCAGCCTGGAGTTCGCCTGCGGTGCCTGTCTGGAGCAGGTGTCCGCACTGCACTGGGACCAGAACGAGGCCCTGCCCCAGTTTGGGGGCCCCCATGTGTTGTTTCCTAATGGCTTCAGCCCTATTGTCAACAAATTAAGTCAAGGTTTGGATGTACGGTTAAACTCACAGGTAAAAATATAACACCTTAAGTGAGACTAAGGCTTTCTTTAGCTATACTTATAAATCCAGAACTGAAATATCTAAACTCCATACTTCTACTTCTATGCAAATAATTACATTTTAGAAAGACAGGAACATAGATTTTTTTTACATAATAGATGATAGAAAAGAATATAAATAAAAGTATATTAGTTGTAAAAGTAAGTTACTTTTAACTGTAATCCGATGTTCTGATGTAATTGTAGGTAACAGAAATAGATTACTCTGGCTCTGATGTGCTTGTAAAAACAAACAACGAATCTCTCTCAGCTGACAAGGTAACATTAGTTTCTACATTCATTCGTTTATTCTATTAATTAATAAATTAATTCATTTTTATTTGTTCATTAATTCATTAAACCAGTTGTAACTAACATAGTTGTTGATTTGTGTCTAGCAAACATACTAGCAACATAGATTAAGCAAAGAGTAGCAGTAGATTTTGCTTGTAGTCCATTCAAGGCTGTGCGTTATTACAATTTTACAAATGTTATTCTACAAGTATCTAACGCTGGTTGTAATGTAGATACATTTGTTCAAACATTTATTATTACTGCTGTTACACAACTTATTTTTTATAAAAAATAGCCTGATAATTTTGTTGGTGTCAGGTGATAGTCACGCTGCCTTTAGCTGTTCTCAAGAAAGAGGCCGTGAACTTCAAGCCTGCCCTACCTGAACCCAAGCTCAGTGCAATAAGGTCACTTGGTGCAGGAACTGTTGAAAAGGTGAGGGGCTGGCTTTACTTTTTGTACAGGACAATATTCCGGCAAGTAGTAGTTGAAAGAGGAGGGGGGGGGGGGGGGGGGGGGTGAGGGGCTGGCTTTACTTTTGTACAGGACAATATTCCGGCAAGTAGTAGTTGAAAGAGGAGGGGGGGGGTGAGGGGCTGGCTTTACTTTTTGTACAGGACAATATTCCAGCAAGTGGAAGAAATACTGGACCTTGAAGTATAGGTCGAGATTACATCGGAAACCCTAGCTATGCCATAACAAACAGAATTTTGTAAATTTAAAGTAATGCTTGAGTCTAAATGGTGTGGTTATAATGTAGAGCTTTTGACTGCTAACTCAAATGTCTAGATTTTGGATCTTGGGCTTGAGTTGGTAGGACCTCGCTGAGTCCACCTAGCTCTCTCAGGTGCCTAACTCACGTTAGGGAAACGAAGGTGGCTTGGCATAGTGCTGACCACATTATCCTCTTAAATGTTGAGCTCATTGAAACAGATAAACTTAACTTTATCTGCCCCATGTGTCTTGGGCACAAACAGGAAAATGATTATTATCATTACTTGTTTTAAGTGGTCAATGAATGGTTGACTGTTTCCTCAGGTGGTGCTACATTTTGATGTCAACTTTTGGTCGCAACAAGTTCAAGGTCAGGCTGTCTTTGGACATCTACCTTGTGAGGGGTCACCCAGAGGACACTTCAGTGTCTTCTACTCCCATGTCTGTTCAAAGGTGTGTTTAGATCAGGTGTATTTAGGTGTGTCCACACACAGGTGTGTTGTCAGGTGTGTCCACACACAGGGGTGTTGAGGTCAGGTGTGTCCACACACAGGTGTGTTTAGATCAGGAGTGTCCACACACAGGTGTGTTGAGGTCACTTGTTTTACACGTGGGTATGTTAAGCACTGTTTTGTTTGTCTATGAGTGTGCCACTGGTGACATGTTAGGGTTAGTTTCATAAAATTTCAGTTGTTTATTCCCATCCCTAACCCAACATTTTGCAACATCCTACCAATTGCCCCCAAGAAATGTAATGTAGCTACCTCCCCTTCCTACTGCAAGAAATGTAATGTAGTTACCTCCCCTTCCTACTGCAAGAAATGTAATGTAGTTACCTCCCCTTCCTACTGCAAGAAATGTAATGTAGTTACCTCCCCTTCCTGTTGACAGACAGGTCAGCATGTCTTGTCCAGCTACCTGTTCAGTCAAGGTTTGACACTGCTGGGAGATAACTCTGATGACAAGATTGTCCAGGCTTGTCTGCAGGTGTTGACAGTTATGTTTCCTGACCAGGTCAGTAGTGTTTTTATTGATTGTTGTTGTAGTTGGTAACAGATGGTGATGCTGTACTGCTAGGGCAACTGACCTCTTAGTGTTGTCTACTCATTAAATTTAATTTAAAAAATGTCAATAAGGTGTTTGTGTTGTTTGTTGAAAAAATAAAATGAAGACAAACAATCTCTGAGTCAGACAAAGCTATTATCAAGATTAATGGAAAACATGAATTTTTACATAGTACGAGCCGGCCCGCGGCATAACATACGCCGCTATTTAGTTGTTGTTTTTTCTACTTTTCAGTAATTCATAATTTGTGAATTTGACCGTACCAACGCTGACACTGAAATATTTCTTTAAAACACTATAAGTAGCTCGTTAAGGACCATAACCTCCCCCCCCTTCTTCCCCCCCCCCCCCCCCCCCCAACGTTTAAAATCATTTCAAACTAAATTATCTGCCCCTAATAGCCGTCACTAAATCCGACTCCACAAAGGTAAACATAGCGTGAACCACAGCTCACTAAGACCATGTAGGGGTGGGGATGGTAGGGAGCGCGTTTACAGCTTGTTTTCTAGCGGATCCCAGAAGAGAATTATATATATAGATACCAGAAGATATTCAAATATCTAATCCTAAATTTATGTTCCAAAATATACTAAAACATACAAGTGTCTTGTATACCCAAATCTACTAGAAAATGTACTTATACAATGTATACCCAAATATACTAAAACATGTACTAGTACCCTGTGTACCCAAAGTGCTAGAATATGTATATCAAAATATACTAAAACATGTAAATACACTAAAACATGTAATATTGACACTCCACCAGGATATCCCCACCCCCTTATGGAGTCATGTGACCCACTGGGGCAGGGACCCTGACATTGGCATGGCTTACAGCTATATCCCTGTGGGCTGTGATGGTGAGGCTTATGACTTGCTGGCAGAGACTGTGGAGGAGAAACTCTACTTCGCAGGGGAGGTAAGAACACTTAGCTTAACCTACCTTTCATTGCACCTGATTTTGTTTTTACATTTTGTTCATTTCTATAGGGATAAATAAGGGATTGCTGTAAAAGTTAATCAAAGTACAAAATCACCTAATTTAAAAAATAGGATTATCAATGGAATGATTGACAGCCAATTATAATAAACATTAGATGGACAAATTTATTTAAGAAACTAGGCAATTTATCTTTTAACCTTTTGAACCCGAGGTATTACTTTATCTGTCTGAGCCTTAAATATCAAATGCTCTGAGGTATTAGCTTATCACAGTCCGTACATTAAATTGTGATTGGGAATTTTAAGTTACGGAGCTAAGGGTTCAAAGGGTTGAATCCTGATGTTTAAATTTTCATTAAATGTTGGGTTTTATATTTCTTTTTAAAACTGGGCTTTTCACTAATTTCCAGAAAATATCATCTAAATTTATAGAATCTATGACTGGTTATTCAATAATTTGTATAATAATACAAAATTTGTATGAAATTATTTTTAAAAAGTGAGAAGAATTTTCTTTTTTTATAATTCAGAAAGTGAGTTGTATAAAAGTAAATTGTCTTGCCGTACACATAAACTGTTCCATGTTGTATAAAAGTAAATTGTCTTGCCGTACACATAAACTGTTCTATGTTGTATAAAAGTAAATTGTCTTGCCGTACACATAAACTGTTCCATGTTGTATAAAAGTAAATTGTCTTGCCGTACACATAAACTGTTCCATGTTGTATAAAAGTAAATTGTCTTGCTGTACACTTCAACTGTTCCATGTTGTATAAAAGTAAATTGTCTTGCCGTACACATAAACTGTTCCATGTTGTATAAAAGTAAATTGTCTTGCCGTACACATAAACTGTTCCATGTTGTATAAAAGTAAATTGTCTTGCCGTACACATAAACTGTTCCACGTTGTATAAAAGTAAATTGTCTTGCCGTACACATAAACTGTTCCATGTTGTATAAAAGTAAATTGTCTTGCCGTACACATAAACTGTTCCATGTTGTATAAAAGTAAATTGTCTTGCCGTACACATAAACTGTTCCATGTTGTATAAAAGTAAATTGTCTTGCCATACACATAAACTGTTCCATGTTGTATAAAAGTAAATTGTCTTGCCGTACACATAAACTGTTCCATGTTGTATAAAAGTAAATTGTCTTGCCGTACACATAAACTGTTCCATGTTGTATAAAAGTAAATTGTCTTGCCGTACACATAAACTGTTCCATGTTGTATAAAAGTAAATTGTCTTGCCATACACATAAACTGTTCCATGTTGTATAAAAGTAAATTGTCTTGCCGTACACATAAACTGTTCCATGTTGTATAAAAGTAAATTGTCTTGCCATACACATAAACTGTTCCATGTTGTATAAAAGTAAATTGTCTTGCCGTACACATAAACTGTTCCCTCCACAGGCCACAAACAGACATTTTCCACAGACAGTCAGCGGTGCCCACCTCAGTGGCATTAGAGAGGCCAGAAAAATTTTAGACTCCTTCACATAAACTTTTTGGTGGCAAGACCTCGACTAGGGCAGAGATGCCAGACAAATTCTAGACTCCTTCTCATAAACTCTTTGGTGGCAAGACCTCAGAAGGGCCAGAAAAATTCTAGACTCCTCAGTAACTCTTTGGTGTGAGTCTTGAGATTGTTATCAAACCACAAGGCAGCAAGACCATAATTTATCTCACCTTTTTACGTTATAGTGCTTCTATACAATGTGTCATGTTTTAGGCTATTTGTGTCACGCTAGGTCAGGGGGCGGGCATATGAAGACTGTTAATGGAGTACAGGAAATTTAGGGCTGGGCAATGAAGACTTAATGGAGTACAGGAAATTTCATGTGAATACATTAAAACGATTGTGGCAGTTTATGGAAATGTTAATCCCCAAAGATTATTTGAAAAAGTGAGTCATTTGTAGCATTTTTTTAAAATAATGAATGCCCCATTTTATAAGTCCTATAGTTATTATTATACCTCAAACCAATCTAGTGTAAGTTGATTACCTAAAGGGGAATGGGTAAAAAATTTCAAGAATGTAAAGCTACTAAGCCCTCTCCAGCCAATAACAGCATTCAGTCAATTAACTAAATAATATCACATTGCACAGTTAACATTTCATTGAAAAAATCGTGACATTATTTATAGAAGTGATCTCACTTTGTTTGCTCAAGATGTTTTGAAGTCCTGCAGTTGATTTATGTTTTTTGTTGAGTATTCAAGGCATAGTTAAGAAAGATTGTCAATAATATGCTAACAAATGTGTTATGGATGGTCATTATGAGTGCTGTATATAGGTTAACGCACCTAAGGTTATCGTATGTATGAACTCACATAGTGTGTTGTGTCATTTGTGAGATTTGCATTAAGACAAATAATTCATGTGTTTATTTGCATTGATTGTATGAGTGCAAATTATACAAATAATTCCTATGTATATAGATTGTATGAGGCTTACCATACAATCATTATTTGATGTATTGTTATTCAATGGTGATACCACTACGTTTGTAGTTGAAGATATTTTTCTACTGTTATGATGTAAGATTCTTATAAAATTATTAATGTACTATTAATTAACCTTTTGTTCTGAAGGAAATATAACCAACCATAATGGTATTATATCAGTCATTGCACTTTCCTCAAACTAATTTTTTATGATGTCATGTGGGTACATTTGAAGCAACTCAGCAAATTGTGTGTCTGTCATGTGGGTACATTTGAAGCAACTCAGCAAATTGTGTGTCTGTCATGTGGGTACATTTGAAGCAACTCAGCAAATTGTGTGTCTGTCATGTGGGTACATTTGAAGCAACTCAGCAAATTGTGTGTCTGTCATGTGGGTACATTTGAAGCAACTTAGCAAATTGTGTGTCTGTCATGTGGGTACATTTGAAGCAACTCAACAAATTGTGTGTCTGTCATGTGGGTACATTTGAAGCAACTCAACAAATTGTGTGTCTGTCATGTGGGTACATTTGAAGCAACTCAACAAATTGTGTGTCTGTCATGTGGGTACATTTGAAGCAACTCAACAAATTGTGTGTCTGTCATGTGGGTACATTTGAAGCAACTCAACAAATTGTGTGTCTGTCATGTGGGTACATTTGAAGCAACTCAACAAATTGTGTGTCTGTCACGACTGAAGAGAAACAAATTTTTTTTAAAATGTTAGGCTTATCATTTCAATGTTTGTGTCAATAAACATTTACAGTGATCAGTGTTTAGGCATTTTATCTGTTTCTGAATCACTGACTCCTAACAGTTATTTCTGAATCACTGAGTTGTTTCTTAGTCACTTACTCCTGGATATTTGTTTTCCTGAGTTACTATGTAGGGATCTACGGTGGGGTTATTGAGTATTTGACTTAACTACTTACGTCTTTAAAAAGAGAGGGAACCTAAGATTAGTCCTGATTTAATTAATCTCTTGCTAATCCCATATATTCATGCAATGCTCACCTACTACCATAAACTCTATTGGCAGCCATGTGTCACTTTGTTTACTTTATAAAAATGTGAAAGGTTTTTTCTGTTAAATTTTGGTGCAATGTTATGATTTTTTTAGCTTCATGCTATTTGTTTTTACATGAACACTTTGTACTGAGGAAAGTTTTCAATTTATTGTAACATGAGATCAGTTTTAAAAATTCAGATGAGAAAACTTTAAAAAATAAATTTCTTAGTCATAACATTTATTTTCCAGTTTGAGAATGCAAAAGTGAAAGATTGTAGAAACTATGACTTTGATCCATGATAGCTTTCTTTTTACAAATAGGTGATCTAGAAAAGAAAAATAAATTAACAAACTTTGACAGATATTAAAACTAGATTGAATGTTGCCGAAAAAATTGGTAGTTACAACTTCCCCAACTCCTGTAGATTGAATGTTGCAGAATGAATTGGTATTTACAACTCCCCCAAAAGTTTACTCAGGAGAAGTAGTGTTGGTACATTCTGTGGTAAACTTTTTGTTGCTCCCCTTAGTTTCACTGGGGTTATCTTTACATTCCATTCAAAACACAGGGGTAACAATTGTTTTCAGGAAATTCTTTAGCTCAGGTGTTTGTTTCTACAATGAATTTTCCCAATGTATCTATGCAATTAAAACTGTTTTTATAATTGTTTTTTAAAGACATTAATTTACACTTTTGCTTAATGGAGTTTGTTAAAAAATGTGGTTTGATTTTTGTTTAGTAAATCTTTTGTTAAATTGCATTATTGTAACTACTGTATTTTATTTTTTCTATTGCATTATTATAACTATTATGTTTTGCTAATTTGTATTGCATTATTATAACAACTGTATTTTATTAATTTGTATTGCATTATTATAACTACCAAATTGTTATTTTTAGCACCTGGTTTGCATGTTTTTCGTCTACTGTTTTTTATTGTTGCACATTTTGAATTTGATTTGTTGGCTTTGTATTTATGATGAGTATAAACTTCATTCATCATGCAAGATGTTTTGATATATATAAAGATAATGGTAAACCACAAAGTTATTGTTTGTGTTGTTTCATTTTTAATGCTGTTTTCATTTAGAGGGATGTTTGAGTTTTTACACATTTCAATTCAAGTTGATGTAAAAAAAAATACTCAACAAATCCACACAGATAAGTCTACAAGATAAGTCTACAAGATAGGTCTACACTGCCTGAATATTTTGTAATGCTGAATCTCAGAAACATGGGCAAACTGCTTTTGGGTAAATATCTGGTAATGTGTTGATACTGACACCTATTTTTGTCTTTATCTGGGTGAACAATTTTAAAAATAGTGGCACCACAACCCATCTCTGTCCCACCATCTTCAATGTCTAGATGGGAACATATAGCTTAAAAAATGGTGGCACCACTACCATCTTCAATGTCTAGCTGGGAACATATAGCTTAAAAAATTGTGGCACCACTACCATCTTCAATGTCTAGCTGGGAACATATAGCTTAAAAAATTGTGGCACCACTACCATCTTCAATGTCTAGCTGGGAACATATAGCTTAAAAAGTAATGGCACCACTACCATCTTCAATGTCTAGCTAGGAACATACAACTTAAAAAATTGTGACACCACAAACTAGCACGAACTTCAATGTGTAGCTGGGAACATATAGCTTAAAAAATTGTGGCACCACTACCATCTTCAATGTCTAGCTGGGAACATATAGCTTAAAAAATTGAAACAATTCCTGAACACAAGTTTTGCAGTGTGACTGAAGTAAGCAATAGATCCTCCAACATGTTTATCCTGTCTGGATCACACTAGAGGTGGTCAGTATGTGTAATTTACAGGTGGTCAGTATGTGTAATTTAGAGGTGGTCAGTATGTGTAATTTAGAGGTGGTCAGTATGTGTAATTTAGAGGGGGTCAGTATGTGTAATTTAGAGGTGGTCAGTATGTGTAATTTACACACTGCTGATGTAGTAATTTTAATCAAACAATTTTATAATATGCAGCAGGTGTGAATTAAACAAAAAAAATATCGAACAAAATTTATTACCATTTTAATTATTTCCAAACCTAGTTTTTTATCAAATATTTTTTTAGGCATGTTGTTTTCCTAAAAGTTCATACACCATTATTTCGAAGTCTTCTTTAACTGCTTAGGATAATTTTTCCTAGTTGCCAACCCTGCACCTACACCGCCAGGGATTGTCAAAGTTCATTACAATGTCCAAGATGCACCTTGGTACACACTCTACGCACCGCCCATATTCGATACAGGCAGTTTCGTCCCTGTGTGGATGGTAAAGTAGCGTGTACGTTAAAATGTCCGGTAATCTGTCGTTTTAGGTAAAATCGCCCGCGACTAGTAATGTGAAAAACAGGTGACTCCTCACATTTTAATAATTATTTCACATTTTGAGGAGGATTTATGTTTTGAAAAATACAAAATGTTTCCTTGTTTCATTTATGTACCTTTTTTTAAACAACCGAATTAAAACTTTTCAGTAATAAATGAATACCAGCGATGTTTCCAACAGATGCAACCATGCTCATTTAGTACATTTACTATTATAGCAGCCATCTTGTTAAAGTTTTATTTTTATAGACTTATAGCGAGAGATGCAGGCGGAAGTCACTCTATTTTACAAATGGCTGCTGTTTATAGCAAATCTTGCTTGCAGACACTGCTGCTTAAATTTAATTTCTGGCCTATATCGATATATTAAGCCATTGATTTAGGTTGATTATTAATATATCTATAATATTTGACACAAACATATCACAATATACTTCTATTAAAGCCTTGATAATGAGGTAACATTTTTGTACATTACTAGCCGCGGGCGATTATACGTACCCAAAACGATAGATTACCAAATGTCTAAATATTCATTCAACTAAAAAGTCAAGTAAGTAAAAAATATCAAATTGCAAAAACGTATAACTTAATTACTTGTAAGTCTAAATGCCTATTATACAGAGTTTCTTCCAGGCATCCCTTGAATTTTTTACCGCCCCCCCCCCCCCCGAACGAAATGAAATTTATATAATTTATATAGAAAATATATACTTTTAACAGTGTCCGCCCCCCCCCCCCCCCCCCGAAGAAAGTTTACCGCCCCCCCGAAGATTTCAAGTGCCCCCCCCCCCCCGGAGAAAAAAGTCTGGAAGAAACACTGCTATTATATATATATATATATATATATATATATATATATATATATATATATATATATATATATATATATATATATATAAAATTCTTTACGTGGGGACCATGCGAGACACCACCACGTAAGGTCTAACCCGCTCTCTAGGCATATCGCTACCCCCCACCCTCCCCTCCCACCAGTCTGGTGAGCTGTGGTTCACTCCTGAATGTTTACAATGTGACGGCTATTAGGGGCAAATAATTTAGCTTTTAAACAATTTGAAACTAATGAGAGGTAAGAAATTCTGCTTGATCTTTTCATTGTCGTCTGTAAACTGTCGTCACAGACAGCTGCTTTCACGGTGGGGAGGGGGGGTGTGGTCGTGGGTAGTGTCAAATCCATAAAATTATGAATTACTGAAAAGTAGAAAATAAAACAACTAAATAGCGGCGTATGCTTACGGCGCGGGTCAGCTCGTAAAGATAAATTCCATAGGGCACGAAAACTTCTTTCACGTTAAATAGAGACTAGAGTAAAATTAACTCCTAAAATTTTAAAACACGATTTACAAGATTTCAGACCTCATGAAACGGGAGTCTACGCCTTAAATATTTGTATTCGAAGTTCACATAGAAATCCGATTCTTAAGGTCAGATGAAAATAACAAATGAATACCTGAAAAATTCGTATTCGAAGTGCACGAAGTAATTCGGGTCTCGGATGACTGGGCTGGGGTCGGTGGGTCCGACACGGCCCGAGCTTCCGTCAACTACCCTTAAAGCAACTTCCGGCTCAGAGTCCCGAGGGTGGCTGTCTTGGCCAGGCAGATCATGTGTCGGGGGACCTTCAGAGTCCCGTGGGTGGCTGTCTTGGCCAGGCAGATCCTGTGTCGGGTTACCATCAGAGTTCTGTACCCTTGGTGCTGGGGAAACCAAGTCGTCAGATACCCTTCGTGTGTGCTCTAATCTATCGGATTGGTCTGCGGGTGTAGACAATGTCATATCAGTACTCGTTTGCTCCAAATTTAGCCCCGTGTCTTCAGTTTGTCCACCAACTTGACCCACTCCACCGGTAGAGATTGTCTGGTCGAGAGGCTCTTGTGTTGACGCCACATCCGAACTGTTTCTAAAATCTATGACGTTAGACAAACCGAAAACCGAGTCTGAATCTTCCGAGAGTAAAGAGTTCGATGTTCCGTTTGGACTGCTCAAGTTGGTATCGTTTGGTTGTGCCTGTGGTGTTACAACCAAACACAGGACGACAGCCGCCACGGTGAGGCAGCAGACGGCACCGCCAGACATCTTGTCTGGAGATCAAGATCGAAATTATTAGGCAACATAGTATTATATATATATATATATATATATATATATATATATATATATATATATATATATATATATATATATATATATATATATATATATATTTATATATATATAAATATATATATATATATATATATATATATATATATATTTATATATATATACCTTTTTTAAAACTTCGTTGTATAATTGCATCTCAAAAATTTAATAATATTACAGTAAACATCTAGTACTCTTAAAAAAACTCTTACCACTTCTACAGGAGAAGAAAAAACAACTTGTTCGGTAACTTAAAAAATCAGCAGATAATTTTATACTGTGAAACACCTGGCTCCGAAATTAAGTTAATTAAGTCTCCCAATTAGCGCCAGGTAAATGAGCACATGTACTGTCTGCGTATTTGCGTGTGCGGTAAAATTGAAATATGGACACTGGAATACTTACAAAGTCTAAGATATCAGCAATAGAGATACTGAATACTGGTCAGGTCCATTTTTTCCTCCAGACTTTTTTCTCCGGGGGAGGGGGGCATTCGAAATTTTCGGAATGGGGGAGGGGGGCGGACACTGTTATGTAAATTCCTTTTCGTTCGGCGAGGCTGTAAACATTCCCCACCCCCGAAGAGATGCCTAGAAGAAACTCAATTTCACTAAATTGTAGCCTTTATATTTTATTTTTACTTCCTGCAATGAATAACATTTTCTCTACACAGAAAGGTAAAAATAAAGAGTAAATTCAGGTCTATTTTTAGTTGTAATTAGGCTACAGGCAAGGGACAGTAATTAAGTCATCGATATTGAAGTAAAGATACAAAATTTTAATCAGACGTTGTTCGATTATTTTCTTAAGTTTCTCTCAACTCTAAAATTCAGTATCAGACTGTCTCGAGCTGATTCATTGGAAATTTAGTATGGGGTCTTTGTGGAGGAGGGGGGGGGGGGGAGAGGCGAGACATGCAGCTTCATTACGTGACTCAGAAAAATGGCTCAAAATGTTGGTAGTCACATGACATGAAAACGCGGATAACTTGAGCTCAATTGTCATCACATTTTTTGTGTGGGTTTAGCTAAGTTAAATTATTTGATTGTGTTTTCTAATGAGTTTGGTCAATTAGTTGATTGTGTACCAAAGTGTTGACACGTCGACATATTGTGGCAAACTCCCGACTTGCCCAGTGTCTCTAATGTGTCTCTAATGAAAAGACGCTAGATTAGCATTTTACTCCTGACTCTCCTGACTCTCCTGACTCTCCTGACTCTCCGTCTATGAGATGTGTCATCAGCTAGATCAGCATATTACTCTTGACTCTCCGTCTATCTGATGTATCATCAAGTGCAGTACAATAATTCTCGAGCTTTGATATTTCAATTCAAAGCTGGTTAAATTACACGCTTTCTTGATGCGACACACACGCACACACACGGACACACGCACACTCATACTCACAAACAAACACATACACACACACGCACACTTATACACACATATACACACACTCACACATACAAACACACACGCACACATACAAGCACACACTGTTACTGCAGCCCAACCTCCAACAAATACCTCACACAACAGAAGACAGGAATCAGAATGTAACTCTCTCAACAGTCTCCACACTGATTTAATCAGCAAAAACCGAAGGCAACGATGCGACAGTCTACATGAAGTCTTGTAGAGACCTCTGTTATGAAGTCAGTCTACGGAAGAGGCGAAGTTTCGACAAGTCCGCGTCAGGTTCCGTGGTGTGGGGGGTGTGGGGGGTGGTGAAGGGCGTGGGTTTGATCTTCCTACAGCAGGGTGCGGCTACCGAAAGACACCACATCACCGCCATCATACAGAAGAGGAGGACCAACCTCACAGGATTCATGTCTGCAGAATAATTATAAAAAATTGTCACCTTGTTCAATATTCAACACCGCTGTGCAGTTTGTTTAGAAATAAGTTGAAATAAAAGTGCCACATTAGTTGTGTTTGTGTGATGCGTAGTTTTAGAAATTTAATTACGCCATTCAAACTTTACAAAGAAATTGATTATTTATAAATACATACGTGTAATATTTTCTAATGTATTTGTTATATCAGCAAATAGACTATACTATTGACTATAATTTAACAGCCCTGTTTTCAAGTGGTAGGCTTACTACCTGTTGAGATTTTCAAATCATCTTAATAATTTATTTAAGTGCCAATACGTGTTGTAAATTTAAATACGCTACAGAAATAGAGAAAAAAGTTTTCCTACAAATACAATTTTTTTTTTATTTAAGTAAGATTAGATTTCAAATAGGCGCCACTTTGCAGATAATGGCGATAGTCATGCTTCTGATCCTGCTCCCCCCCCCCCCCATCCCCCTTGCGCACGCTACTCTATCAAGCACATACCCCAAGAGAAACATGTCCGTAAAGAAGCCTGTGTATTATAATGCCCGAACTTATGTTGTAAGTTGTAATATCATTGGTCGTTCAGAGACTTTAAACTCTTTTTACAAGATTTAGGCCTAATTTGGTTCATTAAAAAGTCTAAACTGCTGTTGTAGTTGTAACATTATGGACTTCCTTTTAAACACGAAATAAATAGTTTTATGAATAGACAAACTACTTTAATTTCTGTACCCGGTAGTCTATAAATGACGACCGCTTTTCTAATCCATTTTACCCCCCCCCCTAGGTGAAGCAGAGTTTATCTTACATCAGTTTTTGCTATAAAGTGGTTCCAGCCATCTCACACGGATGTTCCACAACTACCCATAAAACGTGTTGCCAAGTAATCGAACAACTTCACCTTTATCGTAAAGATAACTACAAATTTTCATCGTAACTGTTTTACCTCGTTAGGAGCTCCATTGTATCCTATATCAACTGTTGTTCTTTAAATATAGCAACAACCCTTAACTTGTTTTATTGTGGCTGATCATAATGAAAACAAACCACTATTTAAATTAACGCAAACAGTAAACTAACGAATTAGGATTAAGTCTAAAGACATTCTTCACGTTACCTGATTGGAAATTGGCTAAACGAAATCCCTAGAAAAGAAAACTGTACTCCGGACTGATGTAGTGTGCGCATGAAAATGCTTGTTTAATTAATATATCCAGTCAAGTGAAAGTTACCTCATTTAATCAATACCTTACTAATTAATTTTCAACTGTGTTTAATTTCACGTAAGACAGGGGAGACTAGACATGGGCCCATACATGCTTTGTTTGATCTTACATTCCACTGTCTATATGGAAGTACGTATAGTCAGGTGACCCGAACTTTCTAAACTGTGTAAACAATTAGCAAAGTGCTAGCGTCAGCCTCCGTTCATAACAACAACAGTAAGCGACATCAACCTCCACATCAACAACAGTATGAAAGTCCCAACATCAACCTCCATATCAACAACATTATGAAAGTCCCAGCATCAACCTCCACAACAACAACAGTTTGAAAGTCCCAGCATCAACCTCCATATCAACAACATTATGAAAGTCCCAGCATCAACCTCCACATCAACAGTATGAAAGTCCCAGCAACAACCTCCACAACAACAATATGCAAAGTCCTTGCAAATCGATCTTTTAGAAGGAGCTCCAATCCCGGTCTGGAACTTAGCAAATCAGAATGGAGAAAACAGGTAATGAGGAAATCAGAATGGAGAAAACAGGTGATAAGAAGATAAGTATGCTTTTAGTGCATTAGTACATAAAAGCTTGTTATTAAAACGTTTTTTATGAATGTTTTTATTGCTTATGGTGTCCGTTATTCATTTTTGTATTTGAATTTTTTTTTAAATTAAAATTATTTACAATGGATCAATACATTTCAAAAGTTGTGTTATTTTCTAACACGCACTTTCAAAGAGCATTTAAAAACAAAAAGTTTACATTTAACTTATAACATATTGAAAAATTTATGACAATGACTCAAACCCTCGAAATATATAACTACATTGATTTTAGCTATATATCACACAAGTTTTATTAGAATAGAAAAATTACGCATTAAACATATCACAAGTCATGTATAACAAATCAATAAAAGAAAATGTAAGAACATCGACACATGGCTACATTATTTAATCACTATTAAATGTACAATTACTATTGTTCTATTGACGTCACACACACACACACACACACACACACAAACATACATACACACACATACACAACACAAAAACACACTCTCACACACACACAAACACACACATACACCCACACAGACGTACAACATACAATCTTGTAGGATGTTGTATAATACTTTGATTGATCGAATTATATGTCGTGCAGAAAGCAAGCGACACACTTTGATTGTTTCTATTGGTTTCATTTAGAACATTCAAATGTACTGCCGATGGTCTTGTAAACTGTTGTACAGAGTACATTTTTACTGCTGTGAGAGTATGTACTATTAGCAATCATTACATAAATCGATGACAGTTAATTTTATCAGAGGCGTAGAGACCCTTCCCGGCGCCCGGGGACAAACTTTTCGATTTGCACCCCCCCCCCTCGAGATTTCGATTTGCACCCCCCCTTCAAACTTTCGATTTGCACCCCCCCTCGAGATTATTTTGATTTGCAGCCCCCCTCAAACTTTCGATTTGCACCCCCCCCCTCCTCGAGATTAGGATTTGCAGCCCCCCTCAAACTTTCGATTTGCACCCCCCCCTCGAGATTTTGATTTGCACCCCCCCTCAAACTTTCAATTTGCACCCCCCTCAACCTTTCAATTTATTTTTCCAACCCATTTTGGCGCCCCCTAAGCTCGGCGCCCGGGGACATATGTCCCCCCCTACCGCCCCCCCCCCCCCGCTACGCTACTGAATTTTATAGGTAGCAGATTTTCAGTTATTCTGTAAAAGGTACTAATATTTAATAATAATGATGTAAAATATCTAACCAGAATATATTTCTACTATAGTTGCGGCACGTTTTATATGTAACTATTAAAAATAATTGATGGTATTTCATTTGAACAGAACATATATTTAGTTGTTTTTTATTTAAATAGTATACTCAAAAGAAGAAAATAAATAAAGACTGCATTATAACTGGGTTTTAACCGACGTGTCTAGTTTAAATAAGTCGGTCCGTCAGAGGTGGTCGAAATTTCGCTGGTATGTTTCAACACATAATGAAAAAACACAGACAAAAGAACTAGGAATCAAGTAGAAGCTTTTGATTTTTTTTTTTTTTGGGATTTTTCAACAATTCTGACATGTCTAGGGTATGTACATGTACTTGATGAATCTATTGAACACAATATTTATTTGCTAATTACTTGAAATCCCAGGTGAGATTCTAGGTTTTTTTCTCATTTTCATCTCAGCTCTATCAAGTGTCTTAAAACCACCCACAGACTTCCAGTGTATTCCTGACTGATACTGCGTCATAGGGTGCTCACCATTCAAGTTTACTGTCAGGCAATTCTGGAACCACCACCCCGTTCTAAATTTGGCAGCGCAGCCCATTTCGTCCGGATAATCTGGAGTGGCAAAGCTGGCGTCATTGTGATATTTTAAGTCGTCGGAAACATTTCCTGAAAAGCCAGAAATGCGAAGGGGAAAATACTCTGACTCACTTCCGATTTTGAACGATTTGTATTGGGCGTAGTAGTCGACCTTCCTGAATGTCATTTCAACTCTTAGTTCCCATCGCCCCATCTGGTGATTCAAAAAAAGTAAAGTGGATGAAATAAGCAAACATTACAAATAAAGAAATAGGTCCCACCCTTTTCAAAACACTGCTGGCTAACATCCGAAATCGTAGAACGTTCGGACATACTTCGGTCAATACGAAATTTTGGCCGGCAATTTTTTTTTTTTGAAGTGTAGGTGTCCTACACAATAAGTCAGAGGTACTACACGATTCAACTCCCCAACAGCATAATACGACTCACCTGTTGACGGTAGATCAAGAGCACCACGCGCTTGTTTGTTTTAAAGAGCGCCTAAAACTTTGGATATAATGGGTTACGATAGTGGTTCAATAATTCAAATTAGACGCGTCTGAAGGTGGCACGGCGATGGGGTAACCGGAAATGCTAAGGGCTCCCTATATATATATATATATATATATATATATATATATATATATATATATATAAAGAAAATAATATAACATTTTTTACCGATGTTAATTTGTACATATGTTTAAGTCCAAGCCAATAGTCGCCAGCATATGTACCAAAACCATCTCTGTAGTCCTCCCAATTTCTTCTAAAGTCAACATCCAGTTTGTTACGTCGCTGAAATATAAAGGCAGTAACTGTACGTACATGATGAGTGACTACAATCATACTTGATGAGTGACTACAATCATACATGATGAGTGACTACAATCATATATGATGAGTGACTACAATCATACATGATGAGTGACTACATTCATACATGATGAGTGACTACAATCATACATGATGAGTGACTACAATCATACATGATGAATTGCTACAATCATACATGATGAGTGACTACAATCATACATGATGAGTGACTACAATCATACATGATGAGTGACTACAATCATACATGATGAGTGAATACAATCATACATGATGAGTGACTACAATCATACATGATGAGTGACTACAATCATACATGATGAGTGACTACAATCATACATGATGAGTGTCTACAATGTCTTTTAATTAAAAAAAAATTGACCTATAATTAGGCGAAGAATAATAATCGTAAACATCACCACATTTACCTACGTGATTGCTGGATTGTCTAACGTTACTTTTTAGTTAATCTAAAATATTTCCTCAAAAGAACAACAGGCAAACTAGTTACTGTGTTCAGTTTTTATCTTACTGTAGCTAGCTTTCTGTTCACAAGTTAACGAATCAAATATGAAATAGTTACCTGAAGCACAATCCACCCTCCGCCATCAGTTTTGGTATCACACATCACATCTACCCCTATTTCGGATTTCATGATCGCCCTTTCTGGTAAATCATCAGACATAGAATTCCTGTCACAAGTTTTCTGTCCAACAAATTATATATTTTTTTCAGAACAATTTAATTATAAAGATATATATATATATATATAATGTCATTGGAATACATAGAGATTTATGAAACTTTAATTTTAAACTTTTTAAACTTTTTAAACCGTATTTAAAAAACCATATCCTACCTGATATGTTTGAAAGTTATCTGTAATTTTGACTTCACGCCGAGCGATAACTTCAGCCGAGAAGTTGACTCCACCCACAGTTCTAATTGAATTTTTTCCGTGTAAAACTGAAAAAAAAAGAAGTTTCTGTAACTTATAGTAGGTAAGTTGGTGGAAGTATGTATGATATCATTCATATCTTTATAGGCCTACTGCTAAAATTGACCCAGAAAATCTGCAATAGGAGTAGAATTTCGAAATAATTATGCAGATTTAAAACAAACGAAATATACTAATAAATGATCTTTTTAGATTCAGAAAAAATAATATATTATCATATATTATTATTAGATGTTGAAATTTTCATTAATTTAATTTAATTTGTTCCAAATGACATACTTAAAGGCATTCTTTTAGCATAGCTAAATTTTGAATCTGTAGCTAAACATTTAGATAATACTAAACAAGTGTATTTTTCTCAGATTCTGTTTTCAGCTACTTAAACAGGTTTGGCAAGTTGACTTTTTAGACAAGGGTACATTTATATTATTAAGGATCCTACACGGAGTTATTTTAACGTGGATGGCATTATTATTATTTTTTGCTTTAACTGGTGAGGTATTGTGAAAATTATTATTTTAAAAAACCGTTTCGGACATAATTCTCTTCACTACAATTTAACGATTAATTTTCCATCATATTTCTCTGAGCGAGAGTAGGTTGATAATTAGCTTATAAAAGATTCGCACATATTTATTCCCACTTTGGAGTTGGCTGCAGAATTGCTTCCAAATTCGATGCAACATGCACATTTTATAATAAGCAGATTTAGAAAAAAATAACTAAATCAATATTTTAATGTACAATTAACTTTACAGTAGGCGCATAAGGCTTGATAAAGTCATTCACGTATGCTGAATATAAATGACTGTTTTACATAAAACATCTGTGTTTATAAAATAGTTCATTTACTGTATGTTTAAAACCCAGAAAAGAATGTCAGTAAATTATCCTAGCATATCAGCTAGCTAAAGCGTGAGTAAATGTTCTTTCATCTAATGTTAATTTACAGTAATCTGCAAATCTTTGCAGTAATAAAATCTGCGCAGGCAATTGTGCGGAATAAACTTCACATACCTGGAGCATCGTCTGAGAAAACGAAGTGAGTTTGTAAAGTCAGCAGCACGATGATGCCCAGCCAGATGTTGATGTCCATGGTGGATGAACTTGTCAAACTAGGCCGACTGACGATGGGATTTTAGCCAGGTTGTGAACAACTGACCAGCCACGTAGTGAGACAGTGCAGACTCTGATGTTTATAGGTGGAGATATAGAGGCTGTCATCAACGGATCAATTGGCTTATGTGTTGTAAGAAATCTACTGGTTGGTTTTGCTTAAGGTTCATTAAAACATGTCACATAACTCCGTCACATACAGCCATAAAATATATTTACACGAAATAACCAGGGGTAATTATAATTTCTTATCTGATGTTTTAAACTATTGTGTTTTCAAGTGTGCAGATTGTTAATATATATATATATATATATATATATATATATATATATATATATATATATATATATATATATGCATATATGCATATATGCATATATGCATATATGCATAATACAAGAGTAGAAGAGCAGCAATAACTACTACCAAGACATCACTTAACAGTCGTTTACTTAAAAATATATAGGATTGTATTAATTTAAAAGATTTGTCACAAGGCTCAAGAAAAGTTTAACCCGAACCCTAACCCTAACACGGTGCCTAGCCATACCTTTAGCTAACAACATAACATCACCTTATTTTCACGGTTAAGTTTCAAGTTACCTTAAACCCTAAAATCAGCTAAGCTTTACGGTTACGTTTTAGGTTGAGATTAAAATATATACATGTACAACAACTAAAGTCCTTAGTCCTACTACTCTACTTTCAACTAAAGTCCTTAGTCCTACTACTCTACTTTCAACTAAAGTCCTTAGTCCTACTACTCTACTTTCAACTAAAGTCCTTAGTCCTACTACTCTACTTTCAACTAAAGTCCTTAGTCCTACTACTCTACTTTCAACTAAAGTCCTTAGTCCTAATACTCTACTTTCAACTAAAGTCCTTAGTCCTACTACTCTACTTTGTCCCTAACGGTCTCTTCTAGCCTATGTCTAATACTAGACTAATACAGTACAGACATCTCGTGGCTTGCCACCGGCTCACAGAGGCGTCCCTTGAATCTCCTCACTTTAGCCACCCGAGTGTGTGTGTCTCCCTAGTCTAATCTTACCGTCTCAAACCCCTCCTTAAATAACTGTCTCACTAAACTCCAGGTGCTGGGGTAATTATGCACCAACACTAGTGTCAAAATCTTATTAGACCGACTGCCAAGCTTCACACGGTCAATGCTGACGTCCATGAACATGCCTCCGCATTTCATTTTAATTACCTGGCCGGCTGATCAAACGCTGGTCACCCGTCTCATTTGTTTATGGGCGGCGGCTTACTTACTCTTTAATAGGGCTAACATAAGTACAATTACCTTGGAATCGTAACTACACACACACACACACACACACACACACATATATATATATATATATATATATATATATATATATATATATATATATATATATATATATATATATATATATATATATATATATATATATATATATATATATATATATGATGTCTACACAGTGTAAATATTTGATTAATATTTTGATATTTTAATTTTTTTTTTCAGCTGGTTGTTAGATAAAACAAGAGTCTTAAGTGTTTCAACCTAAAGTTCAGGCAAATATTATCAAATCAGAAAATAAAAATCTAAATAAACAGTCAAAATTGAAAATCATTTTTTTTATATATTTAACTAGAACTCGAGTTGTTTACAACTTAGTAGATCTATATTTAATTTTTTTTGTTTGTCTGTTCGGTTACACAAGGGCATCTGCACTATGTGTAGAACTGTAAAATACTTATTTAAGTAGAAAATAATTTTTTTTTTACCAAAATGTTAAACACAAATTCATTTAAAGACGTTAATTAATTTATTGATAATTTTCTTCGTAGAAACACCACATTAATTATAAAAGTTCAGAACAATTATTTTAATTTTTTCCACAACAAACCAGGTGCCAATATGATACGCTGGGCAGTTCTTCTTATTTAACTGTACAATAAATTTATCTAGCCTAGAACTAGAGATTCTATGCTCAACCAAAATCGCTGTTTTAAATTACAAAAACATGTTGTCTGAGGTGTGACGTCTTTTTAATGTATGGTCTGGCTTTTTCTGATGAGATGTGACAGTAGGGAGGCAAAGGGAAAGATAAAAATCGTCACATGTATGTGACGTTCTTTATGTAGGCATATGACCCCCGAAACCCACAGTTTTCCAAGGAAAACGATTATCCTACTTTTGACTAAAAAGTATTTAAGTGGTTGTGTAAGTAATATCATTTTACAATTACTACCCTATATATAAAATATTTTGAAAATGTCTAGACCTAAATTGACAATGTCCATAAAATATTTATCTTCTGTTGTTTAAGGAGCTAAAAATAATATCGGGATGTTGCTTTTAGTTGGAGATTTAATTTATTTGATTACGGTTAAAGCATTTTATTTTTATGTTTCAGTATATGTTTAGAGCATTCAAGTTTACTGATGATATTCATGTTAAATCTCATAATCTTAATACATTTGTTTGCAGCTGAAGTAAGCTATACATTTAACCACTATAATAAAATATATTAAATCACCATTATAAAAAAAATACATTGTTTTAAGGGGGCAGTATCACCCAGACTAAGGGAGGGAAACAAAAACTATCACCAAAAAAAAAACTATTTGTCATACACATGTCAAATTTTTACAGCAATAGTAACGTTTCTTCTGCTATAATACAGTATATAAATTGTAGGGTATATGTATGGCAATAAATTGTCAAAAAATTATTTTGTTAATATTTTGTCACATTTTTAATTTTTTGTAAACATTTTTTCGAAACCATAAGTAAAGTACTTAAAATTTGGTATAAACCTTCCTTGCGTTTATGGCTATGTCCAGGACTAAGAGAATAGTATTCTATTGAGAGATAAATTTTTTATGAAATTTCAAAGTTCAATTATTTTGGTCTGACTTTGAAAAATTCTAAAATTTTCAAAATTTGTCACAATGGATATCTCCTAGCCCCGGACATAGGCAACCCTGTTAAGCATCTCCCAGAGTATTCTCAGAAGGAAGGGCCTAAATGTTGGAAAACCGCAGCCAAAAATTACTTAGTAAACATTTTTTGGTAAAATTATTTATAAAAAATGTTTGCATCATACGTTAACTTTCTTTTATGTGCTGTTTTATAGCTCCTTGCTATTTACTATTATGGTAAAAGATTTATGTGTGTATGTATAATAGTTTTTTTTTGGCAAATTTTTTCGTCAATTTTCAAATTTCTGGGTGATACTGCCCCCTTAAAAAGAGGTTCAATTAAACTTTATGCCCGAGTGTTTGAACTATCTGAATGCTATATAATTTATTTTCTCACTACTGTTTTCTTATTTTCATCTCCACTGACTGAAGATTGCTGTTGTCGCCAGTCAATGAGTACCAGTGTATGCCGCCTGCCATTCTCCTTCTTGGCTGCTCTCCATTCAGGAACACGTCATGACAATTGTGGAACCACCATCCCGCTAAATAATAAGCAGCGCATCGGGTTAACCCAGGGTAATCTATCGTGTAAAACCGATATCCATTGTGTCTCTTCAACTCGTCTTTCACGTTGCCCGAGAAGCCAGAAACTCGAAGGGGAAAGTACTCTGATTCGCTTCCTATTTTGAAAGATCTGTATTGAGCGTAGTAGTTGACGTTGTTGTATCTCATATCGATTCTTAGTTCCCATTTACCACTCTGGCGATTGTAATAGGTAAACATTGCTTTCAAATATGCCTATAATATAAACACATACTTAACTATAATTTTTTTCAAAATTATCAGTTTAATTAAAGTCACTCTGGACTGAAAAAAATTAAAGAAAATGTATCACTCTTGACAAAAATTCTAATTGTGTCTGAAAATTACTTCCCTTCGTCTCTTAGCACCAATTACTTTCCTTGATAAATCGATAAATTACAAAAAAAAAAACGAAAAACACAATTACTTCCCTTTAAAAAAATTACTTTGGGAAAAAAGTACTTTTATTACTCTGTTTGTGTTGGAAAAAATATATACATAAGTAGCATGAATTTATATGTAACTAGTGGAGTTACCAGGGACGATAAGAACGTATTACAGTCTGTCAACTTTGACATGACCAAGGCCAAACTGGGCTGACGCAACAGTGCAGGTGGTCTAATAATCGGATTGTACGACAGAGCTGCGCAATTAATATTCTGATGCAACGATTAGAATCGATTACGAATACGATTACGAATACGATTACGAATACGATTACGAATACGATTACGAATACGAGGAGATAAAATAGGAAGGCGACAGTTGAGAACCGGGGAGTATCAAGTAGGAGACTGAACTGTGTAGACGTGTGGTTAGTTGTGAGAATAGGAACGCGGGACACGTGCATTCTGATATGTGAGGACTAGTGAGGACAGTGGGGGTCAGTTGGTTCATTTTATTCTTGTGGAACATTGATGCATTGTTATGTGGAGCATTTCTATTGATTCATGTAATAAAGAGATCAATGTAAACCTGCATTTCCGAGTATCTATATTGTGGTCGATGCTGTGTGCTGGTCAAAGGTAGCACGAGTAAATACACTCGGTAACATTTGGCTCTGTCAGCAGTGAAATCGGTAACATTTGGCACTACAAGCAAATAGACTCGGTAACATTTGGCGTTGTCGAGCAGAAGAATTCAACTAGATCAGCCGCTTTAGGCACCCATTATCAACCTAGTTAATAACTGTGTTTCGTGTGTGTGAATTCGGACATTCAGAAACAGGGAAAAGTATTCTTACATACACGGTAGGAAAGGTCTTTTTTTTTTTTTTACTCAAAGAATTAAAATTAGAATGTCTACTCTGGACGAGAAGCAGACCCATATTGTGGTCCTGCCTAGAGAGTCCCACATCAACAAATTTTACGGGGACGGTGATCCAACCTTAACCAACAGGTTCAGTGAAGAGGTCAAAGCTGCCTGGGCCTCGAGATACATGGCACCAGAGGAAAGATTAAGATTGTTGATGGGCAGTATAGGAGAGACGGTTAGGGCAGAGGTCAAATGCCACGATAAAACCATCCAAACAGATCCAGATAAGGTGCTAGATCTAATTATGGAGACCTTTGGGGAGAGACGGTCGGGATCGCAACTGCTATCGGGGTTCGTAGGCTTAAAGCAGAGAATGGCGGAGAGTGTGATGGAGTATTCACACCGAATGAACAGGGCCTTTGATGCGGTAAAGGGCAAAACACCCGACATTGATGTGCGCCTGTTGAGGGACCATTTCATCGAGGGGCTAGCAACCCCTATCTTAAGGAGAGATTTGAGAGAAGAGGTCTACAAAGACCCACAGTTGACCTTCCTTCAGGTCAGGAACTCAGCGATCCGCAGGTCCGAGGATGAGGACCAATCGAACTGTTCGGTAGACAAAGTCTCTGTGCCGGAACAGAAACAATCCCCACCCACAGGGACCGGCACGATGGAAACCATGATGGCTCAACTGTTGGCCCACCTGGATAAGGTGGACCAACGATTGGAGAGGTTAGAAAGCAGGTCAACAGCAGAGAATCAGGGCAAAAACGGGACAAAACATAGACAGGTTGGACAGCCGCGACCCGCTGGTCCATCACTCCAGTGGACAGCTGACGGTCGACCAATCTGCCTGTCCTGCTCACAACCCGGACATATGGCCCGGTACTGTCAGGGAAACGGTCGTCCTCTGTAAGGCAGGGTCAGGCTACAGAGGGGCGAGGTTATGGCCCAAGAAACAAAATGATGGGAGTCTGTCCCGAAATGGTGATTACGATCGGGGACATCGCGGTGAAGGCAATTGTGGATACAGGCTCCCAGGTGACGACAATTACGGAACAATTTTACACCAAATGAATGAAAGGAAAAGACCATAGTTTAAGGTCTGACACATGCATGCGCCTGACGGCAGCTAATGGACTAACCATTCCATACTGTGGTTATTTTCTGGCGGATGTAGTGGTGGCAGGACATAGGTTGAAGCAGGTTGGGGTGTTCGTTACGAAACACAACCTAGAGACAAATGTGTCAAATATACCTTGCCTGTTGGGCATGAATATTCTTGGCCAGTTGCCAGAATTTCTTACAAATATTGTCGGATCGTCCACACCAGGTCGGGGATCCAAGTTGGCCAGGTTTGCCAAGACCAGAGGAAGGACATCAGTCCCGGCAAACACGGTCAAGGCAATCACATTACAAATTGGTGATAGAAGCGTGAATGGTGATGTGATGATAGAACCATGTGGCGCCGCACTGAGGGCAGGCGTCGTGTTACTGCGGACATACACATCAGCGGAAAATGGACTGGTTCTAGGGTTGGTGGCAAATGTATTGGATGAGGAAATTTTTATACCACCTAACACTCTGGTAGGAGTACCACAGAACGTCGAGGTACAAAAGTCGACACAGTGCATCGAACTGATCAATACCAGCAGCAATGAAGTAACAATTAGGTCGGTCAATGTGACGGCCGAGGTGAAGAAAGAGGATGGCCGATCATATACATTCCCGGAAACTGAGGACCCAAAATTAAATGAATTACTGAATAAGTACAGGGATATATTTGCCTCGTACGAGGGTGATTTGGGGTACACGGAAGTAATAAAACACCAGATACCCTTACTACAAGACAAGCCTGTGGCGCAACCTTATCGAAGATTACCACCAAGTCACTACTCGGCGGTGAAAGCACACCTGAACGATCTACTAAAAAAGGGAATTATTACAACCAGCACAAGCCCGTATGCGGCACCGATAGTAGTGGTAAAAAAGAAGTCAGGGGAGATAAGACTGTGTTGTGATTACCGGAAATTGAACAATATCACAAGAAGGGATGCATTCCCCTTGCCTCGTATTGATGAATGTCTTGATGCGTTGGGGGGAGCAAGATTTTTTTCTACCTTGGATTTGGCTAGTGGCTACCACCAAGTGGCCATGCACCCCAACGATCAACATAAGACTGCATTTATTTCTCCACTGGGACTGTACGAGTGGACCCGTATGCCGTTTGGTCTAACTAATGCGCCTGCTACATTCCAGCGAGTAATGCAGAGTGCTATGAGTGACTTTCTATTTCAAATAATGTTGGTGTACTTGGACGATATACTAGTTTACTCAAAAACTTGGGAGGACCATCTAGAAAGATTAGAACAAGTGTTTCTCCGTCTTAGAGAGATAGGAGTAAAGCTGAACCCAGACAAATGCGGCTTCGGTCTGAAATCGGTACGTTTTTTGGGTTATATGATTTCGTCGGATGGCATCGCTACTGACCCAGATAAAATTGCAGCTGTTAAAGAATGGAAACAGCCAACAACCACAGTAGAGGTCAGATCATTCTTGGGCTTTGCTTCCTATTATAGAAAATTTGTACCTGGTTTTGCAAAAATTGCCGCACCGTTGCATGACTTGGTAAACAAAATGACAAAGAAACAGTATAAGGAGAAAAAGAAAGGCAAAACACAACTGATAGGTGAATTATGGACTGAGGAATGCCTGAACTCGTTTAAGCTACTGAAAAATGCTTTGACAGAGGCGCCGATATTAGGATACGCAGACTTTGACAAACCATTTCGGCTAGAAATTGACGCCAGCTCTAAAGGTCTGGGAGCTGTGCTATCACAACAACAGGAGCAAGGTTTCAGGGTTATTGCGTATGCCAGTCGAGCTCTGAAGGAATCAGAGAAGAACATGACAAATTACAGCGCCATGAAACTAGAACTTTTGACATTAAAATGGGCTGTGACTGAAACATTCAGGGACTATCTATTAGGTGCTAAATGTGTGGTATACACTGACAATAACCCCCTGAGTCACCTACAGACATCAAAGTTGGGATCCATCGAACAGCGATGGGCAGCAGAATTGGCACTCTTTGACCTGGAGATAAAATATCGCCCGGGGCGGTCCAATGGCAATGCGGACGCTTTATCAAGGAATCCTTACGAGAGACCGGGCGATGAGGAAGAAACGCTGACAGGAATATGTGAGGTCAGAGCGTCAACAGATATCCCTCACGGGGTGCAAGTGATGCAAAACGGGCAGACTGTGGTGGAGCACATATCCACAGAGCCCCGACATATGGACATCAGTGATTTTAATTGCCTTAATCATAAAGAGATACGAGATGCCCAGAGAACGGATAGTGGGTTACAGCCGCTATTGAAACACGTTCAGGAACAAAAATTCCCAAGAAGAAGGGAAAGAAAACAGTTTGGTCGGGAAACAAAGAAACTACTGATTCAGTGGGACCGTCTCAGTATAAAGGATGGTGTTCTCATGCGGAGAATTCATGACCAAATAGATGGGACAATACACCAGGTGGTGGTGCCTGGACAGTTACGAGAAGAAGTGCTAAAGTTGGCACATGACAGGGCGGGACACCAGGGTCAGGACAGGACGCACAAAATATTACGACGGCGGTGCTACTGGCCCAATATGGAGATGGAGGTCAAACGCCATTGTGAGGCTTGTGTGAGGTGTCAGCATGCGAAAATGCCAGCTGTCAAAATGAGACAGCCATCAGGACACTTACTGGCGACAAAACCACTAGAAATTGTGGCAATGGACTTTACGTCGTTGGAACAATCATCGGATGGGACGGAACAGGTGTTGGTGATGACTGATGTATTCACCAAATGGACTGTCGCGGTGCCCACACGAGATCAGACGGCCAAAACAGTGGCAAAGGTCTTAATAGAACATTGGTTCACCAAATATGGCATACCAATACAATTACACTCTGACCAAGGAAGGGCCTTCGAGTCAGAAGTAATTAACCAACTGTGCAGCCACTAAGGTATCAACAAATCTAGAACAACCACATATAATCCTAAAGGAAACGGACAGTGCGAGCGGTTCAACCGCAGCATGCATGATTTGCTGCGTACTCTAGAACCTGAACAGAAAAAACGTTGGCCTGATTTTCTCCCATAGTTGGTATATCTATACAACTGCACCCCCCATGCCACAACCGGCTTTTCGCCACACATGTTACTGTTCGGACGGGAGGCTCGACTCCCTCTTGACTTGTTCCTAGGAAAAAAGGAAAGTATGACTGGCTCATACACCGCACTGGAATATGCGAATGAACATATGAGACGAATAAGAGAAATGTACAGGGTAGTACAAGGAAGACTAGAATATGAAGCACGGCGAAGAGAACCGCGGGTACAGTCAAAAGACCCGCCACTCCAACTAAACGACAAAGTATTACTGCGTAGCCACCCTTTAGGCAGAAACGAAATCCACGACCTCTGGGGACAGGAGATATGGCAAGTCGTGGAGATGCCTAAAGTAGCAGGTGGCCCCTTTAAAATAAGACCCACCAATCACACCAAACCGGATCGGTGGGCGAATATTACTCAATTAAAGAAATATTGGCATAGTCAAGAAGAGCATTTACATACAAAGAAACCTAAGACAATTAGGGAACCGAAAACTTACACGGAAATTCACATACCCATCCCGGAACCATGTCACCATAAACAGCACAACAGCGATACACAAGTGGAGGATAACTGCAACAATGAGGATCCCGGTCCTCCCAGAAGCAGAGAGACAGTAGACCATCAGATAAGTGGTCCGCGGAAAAGTTTGAGAAACAGAAAGAATACGAAATTTTTCGTCAGCAACCATCAATTCTTTCATGGTCGCGCTGGGATGAGAGCAGACTGTTCAAAAGCTATAAAAATGAACTGGTGAAGACACCAAACGAAAAAAGGTGGATGTGAATTCTAGAACTGCTTTGTGTCTGAGGAATATGATGTAGACACATTTGATATGTGAAATAGGGATAACTGTCAATCTTTTACGAATGTGACGACATTGACAGTGAGTGGAACAATAATTTTTTTTTTACGGCGGTGCGTTTGACATTGAAGGAGTGCACCTGCCAAGCGTTGTTTGTGGTTGAAAACACACAAAAAAAGGCGGGGTGGATGTAACTAGTGGAGTTACCAGGGACGATAAGAACGTATTACAGTCTGTCAACTTTGACATGACCAAGGCCAAACTGGGCTGACGCAACAGTGCAGGTGGTCTAATAATCGGATTGTACGACAGAGCTGCGCAATTTATATTCTGATGCAACGATTAGAATCGATTACGAATACGATTACGAATACGATTACGAATACGATTACGAATACGAGGAGATAAAATAGGAAGGCGACAGTTGAGAACCGGGGAGTATCAAGTAGGAGACTGAACTGTGTAGACGTGTGGTTAGCTGTGAGAATAGGAACGCGGGACACGTGCATTCTGATATGTGAGGACTAGTGAGGACAGTGGGGGTCAGTTGGTTCATTTTATTCTTGTGGAACATTGTGGAGCATTTCTATTGATTCATGTAATAAAGAGATCAATGTAAACCTGCATTTCCGAGTATCTATATTGTGGTCGATGTTGTGTGCTGGTCAAAGGTAGCACGAGTAAATACACTCGGTAACATTTGGCTCTGTCAGCAGTGAAATCGGTAACATTTGGCACTACAAGCAAATAGACTCGGTAACATATATAATAAATATAAGTTTAAAAGCCGCTCCTAAATGTTCTCTGTTTACTTTTATCTTTCCGTTTGCGGACAAGCTAGGGATATTATAGTTGCTCACTAAATTGAAGCAGGCGCGTCCGCAGGTGACCGGACACATTGCTATTTGGCGCCCCTGGCCTTTGCGTGAGCGCTATGGCGCCTACGTGTGTTTTAAACAGTGCAATAGACTATGAATTAGAAGGGTTACTATTGCGCCTACGTTCGTTTCAGTGAATATGAATATGTTGGGGTACTATAGTCGTTTACTAAGTTGAATCAGGCGGCTCCACTGGCGCCCCGGCAGAGTGCGATTTTGGCATCCTGTGCAAGACTGTGAACAGTGTGCATTTATATTTGCATTCAAGTTTGTGTGTTTATGTTTTGCTCTACTGTTTGCGTTTAGGTTTGCATTTGTGCTAGCGTTTGTATTTGTGTTTGTGTTTGCTTTTATAATTGCTTTACTGTTTAGCTTGTTTGTTTTTGTTTACGTTTGTGTTTGCGTCTTTGTGTTTGTTTGCGTTTGCTTTTGTATTTGATTTTGTGTCAGTGTAATGTTTGCTTTTGTGTTTGAGTTTGTGTTTTGGATTTGGTTTGTTGTGGTTATGGTTAATTCGAAAGTAATATATTTCTTAAACCCGCGCAATGCCGAGTATATGCTGCATCTTAAACACAAAAGTCATGGTCGTTTACAGAAAAGTCTTTCTCAGAGGCCAATATATATATATATATATATATATATATATATATATATATATATATATAGCAAAGTAGTCAGGATGCAACTGTTGGTGCCGATTTCGATTCACATTTGACAGGCACCCGCATTGGGCGATTTAGTCGCCGTTTATCTGATGCTGGCTGTACGCTTGCGAATGGTGTTTTTGTTCTTGTTTCTCCGAGGCTCAACCCTTTGCTATCTTTCTGTACCTTGGCCTTGTTAACTTGAATCGTGTGCGAGTAATGTAGATGTGTAGATGATTGATTATTAAGAATTGTTTATAAAGATTATCACGAATATCACAAAAATCAACTTTTTTTGTATCGTCAAGTATATATATATATATATATATATATATATATATATATATATATATATATATATATATATATATATATATATATATATATATATATATATATTTAAAATTCGGACTTCAGAATACTGCTTTTCAAAGATTTCATTCTTTTTTTCTGTAATACTATTGTTTGTTTAGATTTGAAGATGGCTTCATTATTTTAGTTTAATACTGGTATTTGTTTATGTTTGTCGGTGGTTTACAAAGGTTATTTAAACATCCTTGTCCCAACAAAGATGCAAGCAAAATTAGCATACAGCCACTTTGTCCTTCTCAAAATGTTTACTTACTTTGGTTAAGTTATGCATATGTTTGAGTCCAAGCCAAAAGTCCCCAGCAGATGTACCAAAACCATTTCTGTAGTGGAGCCAACGTTTATTAAAATTCACGTCGAACCTGATACGTCGCTTAAACATAAAGGCGGTATTAGTACAAGTATGATGAGGGATTATAATATTTTTTTTAATTTAATTAAACGATCACCCAAATTTAGTCTCAGGACCAACCCTTAACTTTACCAACGAGATGAATAAATTTCCATAGACAAAAGTCATTAATGGGTTTAATTTCCACATAAATGTATTCATTGCTGTAATCCATTATTTGCTAATTACTTGTATCACAATCCACCCTCCGCCATCAGTTTTGGTGTCACACATCACATCTACACCAATTTCGGATTTCATGATCGCCCTTTCTGGTAAATCATCAGACATCAATTTCCTGTCACAAGTTTTCTGACCAACAAATTTATATTTATTTCAGAACAACTTAATTATAAATATCTATATATCTCTATCTCTATCTCTATCTCTATCTCTATCTCTATCTCTATCTCTATCTCTATCTCTATCTCTATCTCTATCTCTATCTCTATCTCTATCTCTATCTCTATCTCTATCTCTATCTCTATCTCTATCTCTATCTCTATCTCTATCTCTATCTCTATCTCTATCTCTATCTCTATCTCTATCTCTATCTCTATCTCTATCTCTATCTCTATCTCTATCTCTATCTCTATCTCTATCTCTATCTCTATCTCTATCTCTATCTCTATCTCTATCTCTATCTCTATCTCTATCTCTATCTCTATCTCTATCTCTATCTCTATCTCTATCTCTATCTCTATCTCTATCTCTATCTCTATCTCTATCTCTATCTCTATCTCTATCTCTATCTCTATCTCTATCTCTATCTCTATCTCTATCTCTATCTCTATCTCTATCTCTATCTCTATCTCTATCTCTATCTCTATCTCTATCTCTATCTCTATCTCTATCTCTATCTCTATCTCTATCTCTATCTCTATCTCTATCTCTATCTCTATCTCTATCTCTATCTCTATCTCTATCTCTATCTCTATCTCTATCTCTATCTCTATCTCTATCTCTATCTCTATCTCTATCTCTATCTCTATCTCTATCTCTATCTCTATCTCTATCTCTATCTCTATCTCTATCTCTATCTCTATCTCTATCTCTATCTCTATCTCTATCTCTATCTCTATCTCTATCTCTATCTCTATCTCTATCTCTATCTCTATCTCTATCTCTATCTCTATCTCTATCTCTATCTCTATCTCTATCTCTATCTCTATCTCTATCTCTATCTCTATCTCTATCTCTATCTCTATCTCTATCTCTATCTCTATCTCTATCTCTATCTCTATCTCTATCTCTATCTCTATCTCTATCTCTATCTCTATCTCTATCTCTATCTCTATCTCTATCTCTATCTCTATCTCTATCTCTATCTCTATCTCTATCTCTATCTCTATCTCTATCTCTATCTCTATCTCTATCTCTATCTCTATCTCTATCTCTATCTCTATCTCTATCTCTATCTCTATCTCTATCTCTATCTCTATCTCTATCTCTATCTCTATCTCTATCTCTATCTCTATCTCTATCTCTATCTCTATCTCTATCTCTATCTCTATCTCTATCTCTATCTCTATCTCTATCTCTATCTCTATCTCTATCTCTATCTCTATCTCTATCTCTATCTCTATCTCTATCTCTATCTCTATCTCTATCTCTATCTCTATCTCTATCTCTATCTCTATCTCTATCTCTATCTCTATCTCTATCTCTATCTCTATCTCTATCTCTATCTCTATCTCTATCTCTATCTCTATCTCTATCTCTATCTCTATCTCTATCTCTATCTCTATCTCTATCTCTATCTCTATCTCTATCTCTATCTCTATCTCTATCTCTATCTCTATCTCTATCTCTATCTCTATCTCTATCTCTATCTCTATCTCTATCTCTATCTCTATCTCTATCTCTATCTCTATCTCTATCTCTATCTCTATCTCTATCTCTATCTCTATCTCTATCTCTATCTCTATCTCTATCTCTATCTCTATCTCTATCTCTATCTCTATCTCTATCTCTATCTCTATCTCTATCTCTATCTCTATCTCTATCTCTATCTCTATCTCTATCTCTATCTCTATCTCTATCTCTATCTCTATCTCTATCTCTATCTCTATCTCTATCTCTATCTCTATCTCTATCTCTATCTCTATCTCTATCTCTATCTCTATCTCTATCTCTATCTCTATCTCTATCTCTATCTCTATCTCTATCTCTATCTCTATCTCTATCTCTATCTCTATCTCTATCTCTATCTCTATCTCTATCTCTATCTCTATCTCTATCTCTATCTCTATCTCTATCTCTATCTCTATCTCTATCTCTATCTCTATCTCTATCTCTATCTCTATCTCTATCTCTATCTCTATCTCTATCTCTATCTCTATCTCTATCTCTATCTCTATCTCTATCTCTATCTCTATCTCTATCTCTATCTCTATCTCTATCTCTATCTCTACTCTATCTCTATCTCTATCTCTATCTCTATCTCTATCTCTATCTCTATCTCTATCTCTATCTCTATCTCTATCTCTATCTCTATCTCTATCTCTATCTCTATCTCTATCTCTATCTCTATCTCTATCTCTATCTCTATCTCTATCTCTATCTCTATCTCTATCTCTATCTCTATCTCTATCTCTATCTCTATCTCTATCTCTATCTCTATCTCTATCTCTATCTCTATCTCTATCTCTATCTCTATCTCTATCTCTATCTCTATCTCTATCTCTATCTCTATCTCTATCTCTATCTCTATCTCTATCTCTATCTCTATCTCTATCTCTATCTCTATCTCTATCTCTATCTCTATCTCTATCTCTATCTCTATCTCTATCTCTATCTCTATCTCTATCTCTATCTCTATCTCTATCTCTATCTCTATCTCTATCTCTATCTCTATCTCTATCTCTATCTCTATCTCTATCTCTATCTCTATCTCTATCTCTATCTCTATCTCTATCTCTATCTCTATCTCTATCTCTATCTCTATCTCTATCTCTATCTCTATCTCTATCTCTATCTCTATCTCTATCTCTATCTCTATCTCTATCTCTATCTCTATCTCTATCTCTATCTCTATCTCTATCTCTATCTCTATCTCTCTCTCTATCTCTATCTCTATCTCTATCTCTATCTCTATCTCTATCTCTATCTCTATCTCTATCTCTATCTCTATCTCTATCTCTATCTCTATCTCTATCTCTATCTCTATCTCTATCTCTATCTCTATCTCTATCTCTATCTCTCTATCTCTATCTCTATCTCTATCTCTATCTCTATCTCTATCTCTATCTCTATCTCTATCTCTATCTCTATCTCTATCTCTATCTCTATCTCTATCTCTATCTCTATCTCTATCTCTATCTCTATCTCTATCTCTATCTCTATCTCTATCTCTATCTCTATCTCTATCTCTATCTCTATCTCTATCTCTATCTCTATCTCTATCTCTATCTCTATCTCTATCTCTATCTCTATCTCTATCTCTATCTCTATCTCTATCTCTATCTCTATCTCTATCTCTATCTCTATCTCTATCTCTATCTCTATCTCTATCTCTATCTCTATCTCTATCTCTATCTCTATCTCTATCTCTATCTCTATCTCTATCTCTATCTCTATCTCTATCTCTATCTCTATCTCTATCTCTATCTCTATCTCTATCTCTATCTCTATCTCTATCTCTATCTCTATCTCTATCTCTATCTCTATCTCTATCTCTATCTCTATCTCTATCTCTATCTCTATCTCTATCTCTATCTCTATCTCTATCTCTATCTCTATCTCTATCTCTATCTCTATCTCTATCTCTATCTCTATCTCTATCTCTATCTCTATCTCTATCTCTATCTCTATCTCTATCTCTATCTCTATCTCTATCTCTATCTCTATCTCTATCTCTATCTCTATCTCTATCTCTATCTCTATTATCTCTATCTCTATCTCTATCTCTATCTCTATCTCTATCTCTATCTCTATCTCTATCTCTATCTCTATCTCTATCTCTATCTCTATCTCTATCTCTATCTCTATCTCTATCTCTATCTCTATCTCTATCTCTATCTCTATCTCTATCTCTATCTCTATCTCTATCTCTATCTCTATCTCTATCTCTATCTCTATCTCTATCTCTATCTCTATCTCTATCTCTATCTCTCTCTCTATCTCTATCTCTATCTCTATCTCTCTCTCTCTCTCTATCTCTATCTCTATCTCTCTCTCTCTCTCTCTCTCTCTCTCTCTCTCTCTCTCTCTCTCTCTCTCTCTCTCTCTCTCTCTCTCTCTCTCTCTCTTATATATATAATGTCATTAGAATACATAGAGATTTATGAAACTTTAATATTAAACTTTATGTGTACCGCTTTTACACGCGGTAAACCATATCCTACCTGATATGTTTGTAAGTTATCGGTAATTTTGAATTCACGCCGAGTGAGAGCTTGAGCCGAGATGTTGACTCCATCCACAGTTCTAAGTAAATTTTTTCCGTGTAAAACTGGAAAACAAAGTTTTCTGTAGCTTATTGGTGTGTTTGTCGAACTACGTATGGGATCATTCATATCTTTATAGGCCTACTGCTTAAATTGACCCATAAGTTGTATGTTTTCTTATATAAATAAAAGAAATAAAAATAAAATAAAATTAATGAAAAATTAAAAATAAAGACTTAAATTAACCGGGAGTGATCTCCCCTAAACTTTCTCGAATATTCTAATATAAAACTACGATGGATGGCAACTCAGGACATAGACAATACTAGCCATCCCGGCCAGGCCCTGCTCTGGCTTCTGTGAAAAACCTTTCTGTTAAAGACCATTACCTGTGTGTTTAGTAATCATCATAAACCCGGCATTGCCCGCCCAAACCACAACCAACTAAAAAAACAAAACGCAAAACATAACGCTAGCATAATTACAAATACAAACGAAAACAAAAACCTAACAACAAACCCAAACCCAACCACAATCACAAACACCAATACAAACACAAAGAAAAAACAAACAAAAAGCAAACGAAAACAAAAACCTAACAACAAACCCAACCACAACCACAAACACCAATACGAACACAAAGAAAAAAACTAACGAAAAAGCAAACGAAAACAAACCAAATCCAAACGCAAAACCAACCACAAACACAAATACAAACACAAACCCAATGAAAAAAACACAAACGAAAACGAAAAAAGAACGAACAAAAGCGAACCAAATCAAAACGCAACCACTAACGCAAACCCAACCTAAACACAAAGAAAACACTAACGCGAACATAAACGCAAAGTGCTCACAGTCTAGCCCGGGGCAGAATCGCCTGTTTCAGCTTAATAATCGACTACAGTACCCCAACTTATTCATAGTCTTTTGCACCAAACCAAACCAAATGAACAATTATAATACTCCAAACTTATTCGTAAAATACCTACAATAATCGACTACAATACCCCAACTTATTCATAGTCTTTTGCACTCTCTTAAACGAACATAGGTGCCAAACCAAACCAAATGAACAATTATAATACTCCAAGCTTATTCGTAAAATACCTACAACATTTGCACTTGATCAATCCCCGCTAATTATGTAATTATTTTTTTTCCAACACCAAAACAAAGTAATAAAAAGTAAAATTTTTTCCACTAATGCAATGTTTTATAAAGGGAAGTAATTGTGTTTTCCTAATATATCAAAGGGAAGTAAGTGCTAAAGGACTAAATATAAATAATTTTCAGACATAATTAGAATTTTTGTTATTTTTTTTTTAAATTATGTTTAATGAACATGCCGACAATTATTACTTTCAGTTTGAAAAATGAAAATTATTTCCCAACACTTTCAATAGTAATTTTTTAACTCATAAATTTAGACTATGAGCACGATAATAGTCTAACACTAAAACCCATCGACAATCAAACTTATTTTTACATACAGAATTGAGCTTTATATATTAGTTTGTAATCCATTATTAATTACTTAACCTTTTTAGAATAGACTATTAGAAGCTCGTAAAAAAAAGAATTGCACACCAAATGAACGCCTAATAAAATGTGCATTATAGTGCGGGATATTATAAGTACTTTATAAATTTACGTGCGTTTTTTGAGAAATCGAAAATAGCGTAAATTAGTACTTCCGATCAACGGAAATTACTCAAAATTTGCCAGAAGGTAGAAAATTAAACCATTTACGTACATGTGAATATTCATTCATCTATCTGAAATAGAACTCAAGTTAGAGGCTTATTGAAAAATTAAAAGTAGAAAAAGTACCACTTTCGGTTATCGGAAATCGCTTAAAAGTTTATCAGGATCTACGATTTTGATTAAATACTTTTATACGAAGTTTCATCAACCTAGCTGTAACGGTACACAAGTTATCGTGTTTACACACGGACACACAGACAACGGACAGAATTTTACGACTCGATAACGCATAAAACGCCAAAATGTTTATATTTTGTATTTATAATTTTTGCCGGATGTGAAGAAGGACTGAGGAGTAAAACGGTGAAAACTGTCAAAATTTCATGTTATTTTTGTGCCTGATTACAATACTTTCTCTGTACTTCGTATACACGAGAAAGTAAAAAATAAGTATAAAAAAAAATTGAAAGTTAAAAATAATCAATTATAAAAATTAATAAATAAATAAAATAAATACATCAACAAACAAATAAACAAAAAAACAAAAACAAACAAACTAACACCCAAAAAATAAGTAAAAATAATAAATAAAATAAATAAATAAATAAATAAATAAATAAATAAATAAATAAATAAATAAATATATATATATATATATATATATATATATATATATATATATATATATATATATATATATATATATATATATATATATATATATATATATATATATATATATATATATATAAATACATTAATACAATTATACATTAATGTATTAATACATTAATACATTAATACATTAATACATTAATACATTAATACATTAATACATTAATACATTAATACATTAATACATTAATACATTAATACATTAATACATTAATACATTAATACATTAATACATTAATACATTAATACATTAATACATTAATACATTAATACATTAATACATTAATACATTAATACATTAATACATTAATACATTAATACATTAATACATTAATACATTAATACATTAATACATTAATACATTAATACATTAATACATCAATACATTAATACATCAATACATCAATACATTAATACATCAATACATTAATACATTAATACATTAATACATTAATGCATTGATGCATTAATGCATTAATACATTAATACATTAATACATTAATACATTAATACATTAATACATTAATACATTAATACATTAATACATTAATACATTAATACATTAATACATAAATACATAAATACATAAATACATAATTACATTAATACATTAATACATTAATACATTAATACATTAATACATTAATACATTAATACATTAATACATTAATACATTAATACATTAATACATTAATACATTAATACATTAATACATTAATACATTAATACATTAATACATTAATACATTAATACATAAATACATTAATACATTAATACATTAATACATTAATACATTAATACATTAATACATTAATACATTAATACATTAATACATTAATACATTAATACATAAATACATAAATACATTAATACATTAATACATTAATACATTAATACATTAATACATTAATACATTAATACATAATTACATTAATACATTAATACATTAATACATTAATACATTAATACATTAATACATTAATACATTAATACATTAATACATTAATACATTAATACATTAATACATTAATACATTAATACATTAATACATTAATACATTAATACATTAATACATTAATACATTAATACATTGATACATTGATACATTGATACATTGATACATTGATACATTGATACATTGATACATTGATACATTGATACATTGATACATTGATACATTGATACATTGATACATTGATACATTAATACATTAATACATTAATACATTGATACATTGATACATTGATACATTGATACATTGATACATTGATACATTGATACATTGATACATTGATACATTAATACATTAATACATTAATACATTAATACATTAATACATTAATACATTAATACATTAATACATTAATACATTAATACATTAATACATTAATACATTAATACATTAATACATTAATACATTAATACATTAATACATTAATACATTAATACATTAATACATTAATACATTAATACATTAATACATTAATACATTAATACATTAATACATTAATACATTAATACATTAATACATTAATACATTAATACATTAATACATTAATACATTAATACATTAATACATTAATACATTAATACATTAATACATTAATACATTAATACATTAATACATTAATACATTAATACATTAATACATTAATACATTAATACATTAATACATTAATACATTAATACATTAATACATTAATACATTAATACATTAATACATTAATACATTAATACATTAATACATTAATACATTAATACATTAATACATTAATACATTAATACATTAATACATTAATACATTAATACATTAATACATTAATACATTAATACATTAATACATTAATACATTAATACATTAATACATTAATACATTAATACATTAATACATTAATACATTAATACATTAATACATTAACACGTTAATACGTTAATACGTTAATACGTTAATACATTAATACTTTAATACATTAATACATTAATATATTAGTAAATACATAAATAAATACATTATATATATATATATATATATATATATATATATATATATATATATATATATATATATATATATATATATATATATATATATATATATATATATATATATATATATATATATTTCGAAATAATTATGTAACTTAAAAAAACCGGAATATAGAAATAAATGACCTTTTTGGATTCAGAAAAAAATTTCATAAAAAACGTTTTAATAACAAGCTTTTATGTACTAATGCACTAAAAAGTAGAAAAGAAATTATACACTACTATTTAAATTACTATAAAGAAAAGCGTGGGCCACTTCAGTATCTATTGGATACCTTTACTAATGTTAAGGAAGACACCCAGGCTTTTCTTTATAGTAATTTACATAGTAGTGCATAATTTATTTTCTACTTTTTAATGCAGTAGTACATAAAAACTTGTTATTAAAACGTTTTTACTGAAATTTTTTTTAGTACTTTACATGTTTTTATTTACAATAGTTTCATGACTAAAAACCATTGCGCGCCTACTGAACGTGATGGCGCGCCTACTGAACGTGATGGCGAAGCTATTGAACTTGATGACGGGTATGGTGCGGTTGGATAGACATGCCTACTAATTCGGTCCAAATTTTAATTAATTCATAAAAAATTAATTAGGCATCCAATTAAGTCAAATTTAATGTCACTATGCATTG